GAAAAGTAGACGTCGACCTTTCTCTGGACCTCGGGAAGGATCGTGGAAAGTTTGGTGGCGATAGCTATTACAGGGACTGAATGCATAGCGAACAGACAGACAGACAAACTTTCTTCTTTATATATATAGAAGATAGATAGATGTATGTGTTTATATCATACGAAGAAAAGATTGAGATTGAGATGTAAAATAAGTCTGATTGATGAAGTAAAATTGTATTTCATTTTAGATGTTAACTAAATTCATTCGTCCTGTTGTACCTAATGGTATTTCATCAGCATTGATCATCAATCGATCATTATCCATTTCAAATAGATTCTTTCAAAGTACAACAACATCAAAGTCATCAAAAACAGGTTCGATTCAAATCGATTCATTTTGTGGTTTTTTAATTGAAATTCTATTTAGATGAGAAATCTTTAGTTGAAAAAAGTAAAGAAGAAAACGTTTTACGTGTTGAAGATTCATTAAAAGATTTATCATTAGTTCAATGGCGAACTGAATATAATGGAAAACGTTTATGGCCACATGATCAATGGCCTGAACGTGATTTAGTTAATTATCCACCATATAAATTACGTGAAGCACCAAATCCAGTTCGTTGGTATTGTGTACCTGAATCATGGTTTAAATTTTTTATGAAAAAACTGGTGTTACTGGACCATATATGTTTTTCTATGGTTTACTTGTCTATGGATTTAGTAAAGAATATATTGTTTTATGGTATGATTTCACTGAATATCTTATATTAGCTGCTGCTGTTATAACTGTTGTTAAAAAGTAAATCATCATTTTGATTAGAATTTCAATGATTAAAAGAGAAACTTTTTATTTAGACTTGGTCCAACAGTTGGTGATGTTTTTCGAGGTTGGCATCAAGAAGAAGTTGATCGATATACATCAGTAGTACAAAATTCCAAAGCAATGGCTGGAAAAATGTTACATGGTTATGAAGAATCATTAGAACGTGCAAAAGGTGTTGGACAATTAGCTGATGCACGAAAAGATATCGTTCATATGGCACTTGAAGCAGCATATCGTGATCGAATGAGACAAATGTATGAAGCTGTTAAACGTCGATTAGATTATCAAGTTGCTTTACAAAATGCACGAAAAGATTTTGAAAGAACAAATATGATTAATTGGATAACAAGTGAAGTTAAGAAATCAATTACAAGTAAACAAGAACAAGATGCTTTACAATCATGTCTTCAACACCTTAGACAAATGGCTTCACAAACAAAATAAAAAAAGACATTCCTCTTTCCGGTCATACAGTAGTTATCTTGTCATCCCTTTCATCTTTTCTTTCTCTCTCGAGATTGTAATAGAAAATAACAGAAACACAAGTAGAAAAGATGTTTTGTATTTTTCCTTTGATTCTCCGTTCGTTTTTGATTATTTTTCCAAGATCTTGTAAAAAAAAGATACAATACATTAATGATTTCATCTAAACAAGTGATGTAGTATTTATTTGTATGACGAATATTATTTTCAATTTCAATGAAATTACATATTTCTCATGATATTAGTATTAGAAATATTTGAAAAAAAGTTCCTTTATTTTCAGTAGTGACAAAAAAGTTTTTTTTTATTATGAACAAAAAATTTTCACCTGAGAACACAAAAAAGTTTTTCCTGGGAACATAAAAATCTTTTTGTTTGAGACCAAAAATAACACATGTTCAATTATTTCTTTTTAGAAGAACACTTGCAATGATGATCTAAACGGTTAATAAAAATACAGGTTTGTTATTCTCTTTTACATTTACTTACGGTGCCTGTGAGACTCATTAATTGGATAAATAATGAGCAATCAATTCTTGTGTTTTGTTTCTTCATTTCATTGTTTTGTTTCTTCATTTCTTTGTTTAGGGTTTTAATCCCTCCATTCATTTTTCTTAGTTCATCAGTAATTGCATCAAGTGGTTGGATTGGTGAAGTATAAACTGATGGTACAGATAAATTAGATGGCGTACTGGCACCATTGGTTGCGTTTGTGCGGAATGATGCGTTGTTACCAGTAAATGATAAATGTTGTGAATGACACATCTGTTCATTGTCACTAATTTCGTCGTCATTGCTATCACCCATTTCTTTTAATTATTTTGTACTTAAATATAATGTGTGGATAAAAATTGATGATAGTAAATAACAAGAAGATGTATATATTAATTTGAAAATGCACAAAATATCAGGCAGATAATGATGAGTGTATATGTATAATGTTAGAGCACAAAGGAATTACTACCATTGAAAATGATTGACGCCCTGTGCAATGTATCATTTGTCAAGTCAATAGAGAAAAGAGGTCGCTTATGTATGGTCCACGAAAAATGATCGAATGAAAAATACTCGAAAGAAAATTTTGATTGTCGTTGATTTATCGATGCGAAAACTGATCAACAAAAGAATAATCACTTAATTAAAATAACAATTGCGCGTTAAGAGTACTACATTGTTTATACAATTAAATTAGAATTCTATTACTTTTCGTTTTTCCGCTTATGTAATTTGTTCCTAAAGATTTATTTCATGTCAGAAAAAGGTTGGAAAAATGTTACATGGTTATGAAAAGTCATTAGCACATGCAAAAGGTGTTGGACAATTAGCTGATGCATGAAAGGAAATTGTTAATATGGCACTTGAAACAGCATATCGTGATCGAATGAGACAAATGTATGAAGCTGTTAAACGTCGATTAGATTATCAAGTTGCACTACAAAATGCACGAAAAGATTTTGAAAGAACAAATATGATTAATTGGATAACGAGTGAAGTTAAGAAATCAATTACAAGTAAACAAGAACAAGATGCTTTACAATCATGTCTTCAACAACTTAGACAAATTGCTTCACAATCAAAATAAATAATTATTTATTCAAACATCTTGAAAGACATTCCTCCATTCATATTGATTCACTAGAATTTCTTTCAATCCTTTAATCCTCGTTTTTTTTGCCGAATTCTAGTGTAAAATAACAACAACAAAAAACAAAGAGAAACGATGTTTAGTATTTTTCCTTAGATCATTCGTTCGTTTTTTTAATTTTTTTCGAAAGATCTTGTAAAGAAAAGAAATAATATACTAGTGATTTCATATAGACTAATATAAAATGCATTATATGTTGAAAATGTTTATTCAGTTGACACATTACAATAAAAGAAAAGATCGAAATACACAAGTCGAGATTTTGTTGGTCCCTCGAAAAATAATAAGAATGTATCAAAAGATTGACGAAATGAAGAATATGTTTATCCAAAATCATGTGGAAAATATCAAATCACTAGTATTCGTGACTGAGCTTTTTTTCCGTATCATTCATTTGAAAACACATTCGGATAGTTTTCTTTTTAACTTCATCAAAATTATAACAAACAAAACAGAAAACAAACAATAAACTATTTTAATATGTCTGTTTTTTGTATCTTTTATTTTAGATTTTCCTGATCTTGGAACAAATGTATTGTTCTTCTTTTTTTTTTGCTCTTTTCAATAAATAATCCAATGTCTAACAAAAGATAAATCTGGTAGAGTATCAGCTGATATTATTAATCGAAATATAGGTGGAATTTATGCAAGTTGAAATCGATCATATGCAAACATTTCTTGTACAACATTCTGTGATATCTAAGTGCTCAAATCGAAGATCATATATGATTTCTGAGAAGAAGTTCTTTTGTTTCTTTTATTAACTTTTTTCTCAAATGAGATTTACAAAGATTATGTTGAACATGAGAATTTAATTTGAATGCTGTTTCAAGAATATAATAACGAATAGTAAATGAGCATGTTTTTTCAACGATTTGCTTTCATAAAATGAAGAAAAATTTCGATGTACAATCACGTTCTAATCATCAATTGAACGTAAGCAAGATCAATCGAGTAATGCAGAGGAGAAATGTTGTGCAAAGTGTTGCACGATTTTTATTTATTAATAAATTCATTATTTCAATTTTTTTGAACACGACGAATTCGTTCGATTTGTATTGATTTTTCATTATTAAAGGTTCGAAGACGGTGTGTTCGAACTTCATCACATAGGTTTGAGATAACCCATTATCGTATAACTCAAAAATTGAATTTAAGTATTCACTCAGTCACTCATCCTCGGTCTCGGTTTCAAGAGAACTGTTCAATGAAGAAATAATTTATTTGTAAATAGAAAAAGAGTAACGAACAATCAGTTTAAAGAATCAAGTTTATCCAACCTTTGAAGTTCAATTTTTTGGTCAATATATAACTAAATAACGAAAATTTAGTTTCACAATGGATCGAATATTTTCAACATACCTTATTTAGTTTTATCAGCATTTGATCGACTTTTTCAGGAAAACTTTCAATTGGATCACAATATTGCGAACGCATTTGCGCGTCTTTTTGAGCATAGATTGTTCCTATACTTAACCTTTTCAAACCTTATGTAATAAACAAATTATATTTTTTTTCAACTTGGAAAACAATCAATTTACCTGACCAACGTGCAAATCTTCTCATAGCAAATGCTAATATTTCAGAATTCTCCACTGGATTCTCTCGTGCTCGACGAAAACTTTCATTGATTATTGAAAGAAACATACTTAAACAAATGAATACGACTAAAAATATGAAGACAGCAAATACGAATGGACCAAGAAACGCATCCGCTTGGATTAATTCTGATGTATCAAATTTCATTAATGTCATTTCGAATAACATTTGTGCAGTGGATAATAAACTTGAACATGATGACATATTAGAAATGAATAAGAAATAAAATAAATAAACAAATGACATGTATATAATGCTGAACATCATTAAGAATGAGATCAATTCTTTTTGCGCATGTTGAAGTGTTTGAACGAATAATAATAAACGAGAATCGAAGCGAAGTAATTGAAGAAATTTAATCATACCGAAAAAACAACAAAAGCCAAGGAGATATGTAAGAAGATTGTCAACATAAGCAGCTAATTGTAAATTTATATAAACATAGCCATTTGTTTGCTCGAATAATGAACTGATACGATGTGCTTCTTTGAAACGCCAAATATAAATTGTTAAACTTGTCCATGAACAAATAACTATTCCTAATTCAATTAATGACCAAAATTGTTGAAAATATTTGCGTTTCAATCGAAGAAATATTTGAATTTGTACAAACATGAAAAAGATTATGAAACCCATGTAAATAATCGTACAAACCAATTGAAAGATCGATGTAAATGCTAGAAAATAACTCGAATAAACCTTTTTTAAAATTATAGAAATTGAACTTACTGGAAAAATTCAATGGTTGAAAATAAGCAGTTGGAATAAGTCCGCCTGTTGATAAAACTTCCACAAGAAATGTCACCGACGTGAATAGCTGAACATTTGGGTTATATAAGGTTACTAGAGGGAGACCCGCTGCAAATAAGAAATATCTATGTCGAATATCTCACGTGTTGAAGAGTTATAACAGATAGAAAATCAATACAATTAAAATTTCTACGCTTCCAGTCCTTATTTTTNTAGAGTGATGATGTAGTGTGAAGAACGCGTACATCGAGGCAAGCGTCAATGCTACTTTTCCAGCTTCTCATTGTTGATCAACAATAAATATATACTGCAGTAGTAACGAAAGGCTTTCACATCTATATTTCGTTACATACACGATCTTCATATAATTGCAAAAAGTGATTTTCATGAACTAGCACCATCTATATTCCATTGATTTTGGCTATCATATTAGTTGTAATTTAATGGCAAAATTTCGAAAACTTTTTAATATACCAATAAAATTGAAGAGAAAACATTGTTGATTCCATACAAAAAAAAGGAAATACAAATCTTGAGGGTTTTTATTAAGTCAGTAGAGATGATACAAAGAACGTTTATAGTTATAAAACTGAATGGTACTTAATGGACAATTAGTTAAAAGAAAACATCTACCCGATCTATTTAACCATTCTATTCAATCGTTTTAATCATAACCTTTTTATCACAATCAAATTGAAAAGTAAACAATCGAATGAAAAACACAAATATATTTGTAATTGTTTTTCTTTTTTGAATGAATTTCAGAGAAAGAAGATCTGAATAATAACGAAAAAGAATTTTTGTATTAAGTTCAAAATGGTAAATTTGAATACAAATGAACAAATCATGAATCAATAGGCCTAGAACAGTTCCATATTAGTTCCGATCATGGGAACTATGTAATAGTTCTTTTGAATGGAACTGATTCGCACCTGCCAGTTCTTTGACAGGAACTGAACTGTTTCTGACAGTTCTTTTCAAGGAACTGGGATGTTTAAAACAATTCCACAGTTCGAAAAAACTGGTTTTCAGAATACAGTTCTATTAAAAGAACTGTTACGAAAAGTTCAGTTTCTATGAAAGAACTGGTAGACACAGATCAGTTCCTTTCAGAAGAACTGAGTAAGGAGTTCTTTTGCTCAGTTCTTATGGATTTGGAACTTCGAACTGTCCTAGACCTATGAATCAATTGAAAAATGAATTCGAAAAAGTTGATACAGAAAAGAACATTTCTACACTCACTTATGAAGAAATTGGTTGGTATTGATTATATTGAAAAAGTTTCAAAAGATTTTTGTTTTTTTAGTTGATCTTATGAAAAAATTCGGATATGAAACTGATTCAGTTCATTTTCAAAATCTTCTTTATGAAGCAGATATTAATCGTAAGTAAATTATTATTATAAAAGATTTGCATTTCGATTATAGAGAAAGAATTTAATCTTGGATTTATTTTCAGTAAATGGTTTATACAATCTCGAAAATTTTCTCGAGTTTTTACAATGCTTATTGTCATCTAATTCAAATGAACAAGATGGGGACTTACCAGTAAGTCTTGATAATTGTTTTGTATACTGTTCACATCTAACAAATAATCAAATATTGAGATATGGAGATAGTTCAAAGAGAGTAAGTTTTATTATTTCGTAATAATGATCGAAGAAATGTTCAATATGTTGTTGTTTTTTTAGGATGAAGTCGATATGAATCAACGATATCTTGCTTTTTATCAAAAGGTCTTGCAAATGGCAAAAGATGGTGTAATCTTCAATAAGGAGATAATTAATGAAGCCGCGTTGGAATGTGGATTACAACCATCAACAGAATAAACTCGTCTATGGATGACTTTCATACACTTGATATTACTCAATTTTATGCATCTTATTCATTTTTTTTCTTGTGTATTGAACAGATCATTTCTATCTTGATAAAATAAAGAGAACAACTATTTACTTTTCGTCATTCGTCAAAATATAGTTTCAAAATTGAACCCAAAGAAAAATAATCTTTCAAGACCAAACAAAAATTTAGTATCGATATTTCTTCACTTTCATGATTAACACCTAGATAAACAAATAATCGATTTCTTCTACATTTAATAATTAAGTAGATAATATTTTACAGATGAAAAACATCACTATACATAAGTGAAACAAAATAAACAAAGATAAATTCTATGTGAAGAAATCAATTTATGACAGATTTTTCATTTCTTCACAGATAAAAATAAATTCTTGATAAATCTCTATAAGACGTATATTACCATCTATAAAGTATTTCATTTATTTAATTCAAACGATTAACCATAATCATAAGTCCACGTGATCGAATGAATATGACTGAATCCATCTGTTCTCTTTTCTTTTGTCAATAGTATAGTAAAAGTATCTTTTTTCTTGTCTTTCCTTTTTTTGTTCTTTATTTCAAAGAAGAAGATTAAGAATTAATATTTATAAAGTTCTTTTTTCTAAAATTTATTTCTTTTTTAGTTTACAAAATGTCATCCGATCAAACAAAAACAAGTTCTCCGTCTGATGAATTATTAAAATCAATTGATTTATGGTTAAAATGGGATCAATGTGAAACAACACGAAAAGAAATTGAAGAATTAAAAAAGAATTCAAAATGGGATGATTTAGAAGTTCGTTTATCACATCGAATTCAATTTGGTACAGCTGGTCTTCGTGCTAAAATGGGTAGTGGATTTGCATCAATGAATGAATTAACTGTTATTCAAGCAACACAAGGTCTTATTCGTCATATACAAAAAACATTTGAAAAAAAAAAGATTCATCATTATCAGTTGCAATTGGTTTTGATGCTCGTCATCAATCTCATCAATTTGCACGTTTAGCTGCTGCTCTTTTCGCTCATGAAGGTATTCATGTTTATTTATTTGATTCAATAACAGTTCCAACACCATTTATTCCATTTACTGTCAAAAAATTACAATGTCAAGCTGGTATTATGGTCACAGCAAGTCATAATCCAAAAGATGATAATGGTTATAAAGTTTATTGGGAAAATGGTGCACAAATTATTTCACCATTAGATGCACAAATTGCACAATCAATTGAAGAAAATTTAGAACCATGGAAAAATAAAGCTTGGAATTTAGATATTTTCAATGATAAAACTTCGAAATTGATTTCTGATCCAATTGAAAAGGTTTCTATTCTTATCTTTTCTTTTCATCACTCACGATTTTTTTAAACTTTAGATTCGTGATTTATATATGTCAAATTTATCAAAATTATGTTTTTTTCCCGAATTAAATTCATCAACACCATTAAAATTTGTTTATACACCAGTTCATGGTGTTGGTCAACCATATGCTGAACGTGCATTTGCTGCATTTCATTTTCAACCATTTATTTCAGTTGATGAACAAAAAAATCCTGATCCAAATTTTTCAACAGTGAAATATCCAAATCCAGAAGAAGGAAAAGAAACATTAGAATGTGCTATTCGAACAGCAAATAAACATAATGCTGATTTTATTATTGCAACTGATCCGGATGCTGATCGATTTGCATTAGCTGAAAGAGATACAAGTGGTTCATCAGAAACTGGATGGAGAATTTTATCTGGTAATCAATTAGGAGCTTTACTTGGTTGGTGGCGTTGGTTTACTTGGAGAAATCGAAATCCAGATGTTAATGTTAAAGATGTTTATATGCTTTATTCAACTGTTTCATCATATATTTTAAAATCGATTGGAGAAGTTGAAGGTTTCAACACAATTGATACTTTAACTGGATTTAAATGGCTTGGAAATCGATCAAATGAATTAATCAATGACAAAAAACATGCTCTCTTTGCTTTTGAAGAAGCTATGTAAGTTATTATCTAATTCGAAAATATAATTGTCATTTGAAATTCTTTCTTTTAGAGGATTTATGTGTGATCCAGAGAATGTTTTAGATAAAGATGGAATATCAGCATTAGCTATTGGATCGGAAATGTGTGCTTATATTAAATCAATTGAACGAACATTATATGAACAATTAGATCATCTTTCATCACTCTATGGTTATCATATTAATAATAATTCTTATGTTATTTGTAATAAAATTGATGTGATGTTGAAAATGTTTGATCGTTTAAGACATTATGATCAAAGAAAAGATCAACATACAACAAATGAAACAACAAAAAGTGAAAAGAAAGAACCAGAAATTCTTGTTCAATATTCAAATAAAATAAAATCACATCTTGGTGCAAATGAAAAAGAATCAAAAGATGGACGAAATGATGATGAAGATTATGTTTATCCAAAATCATGTGGAAAATATGGTATAACTGGTATTCGTGATTTAACTGATGGAATTGAAGCTGATTTTCGTGGTGAAGGAAAAGATGAAAAACCAACATTACCTTGTTCATCATCAACACAAATGATTACATTTTATTTTGATAATGGTTGTGAAATAACAATACGTGCAAGTGGAACTGAACCAAAAACTAAATGGTATTCAGAAATAAGAAAAAAGAAACCAATGAAAAATCCATCAGAAGAAAATCCAATGATTGATGATGAACAATTTCGAAAGCAAACAAAAGATGAACTTGATGAATTAGTCGAACAAGTTGTTCAAGAATTTCTACAACCAAAACAGAATCAATTGATTGAAAGAGAAACAACAGCAAAATAAATGAAAATTCCAAATTTGACTCCGGTGTTTGCTTGTTGTCTTTTTATCCAATATATGCCTTATCTTAGCAATATTGTTTATTCATCTTTTCATTTTGAAAAACAGTTTTTCCATTTTTCCATTTCATAGAATATCTAATGCAAACTTCTGATCTTTTTTCTTTTGATCATAATAAAATTTTTGATGATTTGGATAAATTGTAATGAAATATATTGCTTAGTTATATGAGTGTATTTGCTTCAATGTTTAAAAGTATCCAATAACTGTTTGGAGTTTGATCAAGTATGGCGAGAGGTGTAGACCGACGTCTCAGTCGGCGGCGGTGGCGGCGGCGGAAGCTCGACTGGACGGCTTATACCTCTAGCCATTCATATACAAGGTAAAAGTTCACATTATGTCGTCCGCCATTTCTTCTCTCTATCTATATATGTAAAGAAGAAAGTTTGTTTGTCTGTTTGTTTGTCTGTCTGTTCGCTATGCATTCAGTCCCTGTAATAACTAACTTCATGAAACTTTCCACGATGGTCACTCAGGTCCAGGGGAAGGTCGACATGCATTTTTTTTCGAAAAAAAAATGAATCCTACGTTTGCTACAGGTATTTTATGAAACTGACCAATGGGATTGCAGCATTTCAAAATCTTGCACAAATTGATAGCGAAGGCGACCGAAGGCCGTCTGAGCGCTCATATACAACAACTCATGTTTCATCTATCTAGGACAGTCCTAGGTTTGCTACAGACAGTCTGAAGAACTGTCCAATAGGATTTCAGCACTTGAAAATCTTGCACAAATTAATAGCGAAGGCGGCCGAATGCCGTCTGAGCGCTCATCTATGATCGATCTGTCTTTTCTATCTATCGTACAATTTATATGGAGGAAATCTCATACAAGTCGTATCGAATTGAAACTGCCGTTATTTTTGCAGAAAATTTCATGAATTGTTGAAACTGTGTTAGCTTATATCTATAGAAATAATGCTCTTTTTTCGCAATACGTAGGAAAATCGAATGCTCTTTCATCTATATCTATAACTATAATCAAAATATAGTACATAATACTCATAAAACGAAAATAATAATGTGTATTTGTCTTTCTATATTCTGATAACTATAAGATATTCATTTTTTCTGATGTGCAATAAATTTTTGCTGATTTTTCTTTTTTTCTTGACTCATAAAACATGAGATGTGAATGATTAGAATATACACGAATAAAGTAAGACTAGATTGAATAATTCTGTATTGTACATTCTTTCTCGAATAAATCTGGATTGTTCCCTTTGTAATGGATTATTGTATATGATATGACGTATAACATTCTTTTCTATGTGTCATGTATCGTCATTGGTATGTTTATGTTATCATACAAGACGGTGCTGTGGAAATCTCCAGCGCTTTGTATCTATATAAACAGATCGTTTTTTACTGCCTATCATTATATTAAAATCGATATTCTATTCTATTCTACCACTCAACTTATTGTCGAAACAAGTAAGTGTATAATCAGTGTATTTACAAAGATTATAAACATACAGATTACCAAATATTCTTCGATCATCATACCTACAATCATTTCAAACGGCAAGTAGTAAGATTCGTTCGTTTTAAATTATTTTCTATTTTTCATATTTAGATTAAAAATATTGCGTGATGCCAGCAAAGAAAAGAGCCTCTTTGGGGAGAAGTACGTCAGCTTCAAGAAGAATGACGGCTGACAGAGCAGCTGAAACTCCACAACAGGAACAAGAGCGACGCGAAAAAGATCGAGCACGACATGCCGGTGCTAGAGCAGCTGAAACACCACAACAGACACGAAGTCGTAGTGAACTTCAACGTACAAGACAAGCAGCTGTAAGAACCGCACAATGGACATTTTTGGAGGGGGAAGCATTTAGATATGATCCAACAAAAGTTTATGATAGTCATCCACAGCTCTGTATAGGACGAATGATAAAACATTGTCTACATTGCAACGCGCTCAAATGGCCTGGAGAAGCACCAGGTATGTGTTGCTCCAATGGTAAAGTGAAGCTACCAGCACTTAAGACGCCTCCTGAACCACTAGAGTCACTCACATCAGGACGATTGGCTGAGTCAAAGCACTTCCTGGAGAACATCAGAAGATACAACTCATGCTTTCAGATGACGTCCTTTGGTGTGTCAAAAGAAGTGATTCAACCGGGTTATATGCCAACGTTCAAGGTTCAAGGCCAAGTATACCATCGTGTTGGATCTCTCTTGGCATCATCTGATGAAGAACCTAAATTCCTTCAAATTTATTTTATGGGCGATGAACGTAAACAAGCAGAACGACGTTACAATACTAATCCTGGGACCCGGAGAAGTATCATCATCAAATTACAAGAAATGCTTCATCAACATAACAGTTATGTTCGTCTTTTCAAGACTGCTATCGAAAGAATGCCTACCGATGAGCACAAGGTGGTCATTAGAGCGGATAAAACACCTGCTGGAGAGCATGCACGGCGTTTCAATGAATCATTAGTAGATGAGGTGGCAGTGGTTATGGTTGGCAGTGAATTTAGTACACGGGATATTGTATTGGAGAAGAAAAATAGTCAATTGAAAACCGTGTGTGAGACGAATAGGGCCTACGACGCCTTACAGTATCCTCTTATTTTCTGGGAGGGAGAAGACGGCTATCACTTCACCAACAAGCAGGTTGATCCGACAACAGGAGAAACCATGCTCCATAAAAAAGTATCAGCTATGGCCTTTTATGCTTACAGAATAATGGTGCGAAATGCAGAAGTCAATCATATTCTACGATGTCGACAATTATTCCATCAATTCATAGTTGATATGTACGCTAAGATCGAAGCCGAACGATTACTTTTTGTGCGTACTCATCAACAAGAGCTTAGAGTTGATGACTATATTCATCTGAAAGACGCCATAGCAAATGATGGAAAGGCTGATAATATTGGTCAATTGGTAATACTACCATCTACTTTCACAGGAAGTCCACGCCATATGCATGAGTACACACAAGATGCCATGACATATGTTAGAAACTATGGAAGGCCTGATCTCTTCTTAACATTCACCTGCAATCCGAAGTGGGAGGAAATTAAGAGAGAACTGATGGATGATCAAACTCATTCCGATCGTCATGATGTGTTGGCAAGAGTCTTCAAACAAAAGCTAACTGTGCTGATGAATATTATCACAAAAAACACATGTGTTTGGTCCACCCAGATGTTGGATGTATTCAATTGAATGGCAAAAAAGAGGATTACCACACGCCCATATCTTGGTCTGGTTGAAGGAAAAGATCAAGTCGGATCAAATAGATTGTGTGATTAGCGCAGAGATACCTGATCGTGAACAAGATCTTCACCTGCATAATACAATCAAGCAGAGCATGATCCACGGACCATGTGGCAAACTCAATCCGAATGCTCCCTGTATGGAACAACGTCCTGGTACGAGCATAAAACAGTGCTCAAAAAGATACCCAAAACAACTCTTGCAAGAAACAGAAACTGGTGATGATGGATATCCATTGTACAGGAGAAGAAGTACGAATGATGGTGGTCACACGGCCGAAATCAAAGTGAGAGTTAACAACTCCGTTCAAACGATAGTGGTTGACAACAAATGGGTTGTACCATATTGTCCACTACTCTCCCGGATCTTTGATGCTCACATTAATGTGGAATATTGCAACTCAGTAAAATCAATTAAATACATCTGCAAATATGTCAACAAGGGGAGTGATCAAGCTGTATTTGGCTTGGAAAAAGACGGAACAGCCGTTGATGAAATCACACAGTATCAGTTGGGTAGATACATCAGTAGTAATGAGGCAGTTTGGCGAATTCTGGATTTCTCAATTCATGAACGACATCCAACGGTAGTTCATTTGGCTGTACATTTGGAAAATGGTCAGCGCGTTTACTTTACAACAGACAATATCCATAAGAAAGTCAATGAACCACCAAGAACAACACTAACAGCATTTTTTCTGCTTTGTCAGAAAGACGACTTCGCTCAGACGCTCCTGTATTGTGATGTTCCAAAGTATTATACATGGGATGCTTCCGGAAAAGTCTTTAAGCGCCGTGTTCAAGGAACTTCAGTGCAGGGTTATCCGAACATTAGAGAAACAGATGCTCTGGGTCGTGTCTATACTATCCATCCAAATAACTTTGAATGCTTCTTCGTGCGGCTCTTACTTCATACAGTTAGAGGTCCTACTTCATTTGAAGCTCTACGAACTGTAAATGGTCGAGTTTGTGAAACATTTCGTCAAGCCTGCCAATTACGTGGGTTATTGGCAAATGACCAGCAATGGGATGCTGCAATGTCCGAAGCAGCTGTAGCTCAATCACCTTCACGACTCAGAAATTTATTTGCACTTATACTCGCTGTCTGCAATCCGTCAGATCCAAAACAATTATATGGGAGACATACAAAGAAAGTCTGACTGAAGATATTCTCATAAATACTCGCAGACAAAATCCTGGAATGAATTTGGATTACACACCAGATATGTTCAATCAAGCACTGATTCTTCTTGAAAACAAAGTTTTTGATGGCAAAGTGCTTCCCGTTCCTCAACGAAATCGGGGTGATCGACTAAGCAGTGCGATGCTCAGAGAAACAAGTTATAATGTGAACGAGTTAAACGCTTATGTAACCGCAAATGAACCGTTATTGGTACCAGATCAGCGAGCTGCGTACAATGCAATTTTGGCTCAGGTCGAGAGAAAAGCTGGTGGAATCATTTTTCTTGATGCGCCCGGTGGAACAGGGAAGACATTTGTCATCAATTTACTATTAGCTAAAATCCGCCAACAGTCGAAGATTGCAGTTGCAGTTGCCTCTTCTGGCATTGCCGCTACGCTACTGCATGGTGGTCGCACTGCTCATTCGACATTAAAGTTACCCTTGACGCGTCCGTCAGATGACAAGTATGTCTGTAATATTAAGAAGGGAACTAGCGAAGCAATGGTTCTTCAGGAGTGTCAACTTATTGTATGGGACGAGTGCACAATGGCCAATAGGCATGCATTGGAAGCCTTGAACTATACTCTACAAGATCTTCATGGTAGTGGATGTAATATGGGCGGAGTAGTTTTACTTCTTGCTGGGGATTTTAGACAAACACTGCCCGTTATTCCGAAGGGCACTATCGCTGATGAACTGAAAGCTTGCCTGAAATCTTCGTATCTTTGGATACATGTAACATCATTGAAACTTTCAACTAACATGAGAGTCCACTTACAAGGTGACGTGTCAGCTGGTCGTTTTGCCGAACAGCTTGTAACAGTTGGAAATGGTAAAATACCTGCTGATCGAGTTAATGGTCTCATTAGTTTTCCAACCAATTTTTGCAATTTGGTCGAATCAGTCGAAATTCTTAAGGATCGGGTATTTCCAAACATTACGACTCATTTCAGAGACCATGCATGGCTGTGCGAACGTGCTATTTTAGCTCCCTAAAACGTTAGCGTGAACGCTATCAATTTACAAATTCAGCAAAAGCTACCTGGGGAAACTGTATCTTACAAATCAATCGATATGGTCACAGAAGTCGACATGGTAGTTCAGTATCCAACTGAATTTCTCAATTCACTCGAACCATCCGGAATGCCACCACATGACTTGCGTCTAAAAATTGGTACATCCATTATGCTATTAAGAAACCTGGACGCGCCAAGATTATGTAATGGAAGTAGGCTATGTGTAAAAACTCTTATACCTCATGTAATTGAAGCAACAATCATGACAGGTTGCGCAAAAGGTGAAGATGTTTTCATACCAAAAATACCCCTGGTTCCTTCTGATGTACCATTCGAATTCACACGCCTTCAATTTCCAGTACGCCTTGCTTTCGCAATGTCTATTAATAAGGCGCAAGGACAATCGCTGAAAGTTATTGGTGTAAATTTAGAAACTCCCTGTTTCTCTCATGGTCAACTTTATGTGGCATGTTCAAGAGTTGGAACTGGCAATAATTTGTATATCTATGCCCCGGATGGAAAAACGAAAAATGTCGTTTACGAAAAAGTGCTTCAATAAGAAGTCTGTTTCACTGTTCTTTTCCAATTGAATAACATTCATAAATAAAAGTATACGGAAAAGAAAAAAATATATTCGTAACTATTTAAATATATCAAGTATCCAGATCGAAAACGAAAGGATAATGGCTTAATTTAGAATATTTTGTATCAATAGGATAACGAGAAATGTAATAATACTATATTCTCAGTCGCAAGCTACATACTTTTGCATCATTTACATTCATCGGGTACGCCCGCTAGTATATATATATATATGGCAAAGACGAGACAACATGTGTGTCTGTCTTCTCATCTCGATCGAATGTTGTGTTACATATCGATTGCAGTGAATAGAAGATTAAATTGTGTAAGAGGATAGAATCAGATCAAATGTCTATTGATCACTTTTGATATGAGATTTTTATGACAACAATTCGGCTATTTGCTCGAAACAATTCAGAATAACATGATGCGATATTGAAGCAGAAATCAAGAATAGAACACTAAAAACTATAACCGGAAAATATTCATTCATTAAACTTGTAGTTCCGATGAAAGTCACTCGAATCGAGCAGCATCACGCTATTTACTGTAGTCAATAATTCATCTGCACCTCCTAAGATCTGTATTATATGTGTTTCATTCGTGATTTTCAATATCACTAAGCAAGAGTAACTTATTTCCAACTGACAGTCTTCACTACAAGTGAAGACTAAGATACGAGTAAAAAAATAAACCATGGCTGAGAAAGTGTTTCTTTCAGGATATACGCTTAAAAGCACAGATGATCATTAATTGTAGCAGAACTATATTCTAAGAGTGGAAAGACAGTCTATTGAAAAAGTAGTTTAAATCTTATGAGATGGAAACAAAAGTTAAGTCATGCATCAAACTCAAAGTATGTTTACTATTTATAGGCTTTTTCATTCAATTAGAGATTTACATGAATATAGCGATTTGACGTCAGACAGGAGATTGATAATTATATTTTACATTAGCTCTATGTCATGCATCTACATTATCAATCGAACCAAAAAATATCTTTTAGTAATAATTTTACTACCAATCAGAATTAAAATCAAGATGAATTCAATCTCATACGAGAGCAAAATACGTTCGATTGTTTGGAATCGAAAGACATTTGGATATTGATAACTCAAGCAAAGCTCATCTAGTTTCTTTTGCTTGAGGAGTTTATTTTCGTATACAAACAGTTGAGCATCATTTTTTTTAAATAGGAGTTGCATTGAGTAGAAAGCTAATGAACGATCGTTCCTTGGATGAAAGTATTCAATTGTTTGGATATTTCAGACATAAAACATTGCAGCAAACTTTAAGTACGTGAGTAATTTACGCATCCCTGGTGCTTTATTTCTAATTGGCTCTAGCCGCAAACGTACAACACGCAATGCTTTTTCTTTTTCTAGAAGATTTCAATGTTTCTTTTAGTAAAAATATAGTATCACACGTATCCGTACTTCACTAAACAAGTCAGTAAGTAGAATGGACATGCGCGAAGTAAATGCTTGCCGTCGTTAGACGTGCTAAGTGTAGTAAAAGTAAAACTATTCGCATGAGTATGAAATGCAGGTGAAAGAGATTAATATCCGTTTTGAGAAAGATTTCATTTGAGTTCAGTTAATCGGTTTGAACATCGATTTCATTCCAGTTTAACGCGTTTACAGATCGCATTGCTCATTGTATATTACATGAAAACTTGTTGTTCGATTTCGTTTTCTTCCATTCGAAATAATCACATTTCTCAATTGAATATGTGCATGTTCATTTAGAAATGAACACCGGTAATCACACGTCAATGTCTATTTTTTCCTCATGATCGATACGCAAGTTAACTGACTGTCGTCGTACTCCAAAAAGTGTAATAAGACGATCAACTCCAAAATGAAACTGTCTTGTTCTTTGCTGATTTCTCAATCTAATATCTTTTCACACGTTCACATCGAAGAAGAAAAAGTCCTCAGTGCACACGTATAAACATTTCTTCATCGAGGTAATTTCGTCTTTCAATTAACACTCTTGTTCAGTCCGTCTCTTGAATATTGGCACATGTATGTGTATCAGAAAGACGATTAGCTTTCACTTTTACGATTGATTTACTTCGCTTCGTCTTTCTTCTGATAAGCTCTGCAAGCTCGTCTCATGTTCGTTGTTTTCTATCTAACAAACAGATGATAAGACATTCCATATCAGTGGATTTAGTTGTACAAATGTTCGATGAGATGAGTAGAACAGGGCGGAGACAGCATAGCTTGCTTCCTCTCCATCTTTTGGGTGGCTGCACTAAACAAATCACTGAATATCATAGCAATTCAGCAAGAGTAATAACATGATTATCATCGTCGTCATTAATTTTTAATCCATTGAAGAAAATCAACAGGATCATCTATGTTCTATCTTTTTTCTCTCTTTGCTCACGGCTATTTTAGCCATTATTTGACAATAAGTCGTCGATCAGTTAAAACAACAATTCCAAATTGATAGAAACATATGTTGTTACGTTTTCTCTTTTGCCTACTAGAAATCATGCTTATCCTGTTGAAATGAACGACGCCACTGATAGTCACTCGATGTTGTTTCCATATAAAGTTATGAATAGATTAGGTCAAGTGTAGCTACAAGTTAATGAATCTGTGCAAACAAATGATAAACTATACATAAACATGAATCGATACGAGTAATTCGACATGATTTAGACGATCAGAGTAGTGGACAAACATCAAGTGACTTATCACGAACGGTCTTTTTTAAGTTGATGCGACAAATACAATATAGTACAGTTCGCTCATATTCGATTTCCGTTCGGATGTGTCGGCAACGGCATCTGTTCATTGTTGTTATGCGAATTCATCAAACGAACCTCTGCACGTGCCTGAATGTCATACATGTTAATCAAATCCTTTCTATGTTGAAAAGAAGAAGAAAAGACAAAGCATCTCAGTCGATAAATATCCATAAGGAATCAAAATTAGCTTGTGTATTGATTCAGAAAACTTTATGAGAAAGACTACCGTCTGTTGTGCTCAGTTAACCTTGATCGAATCGATTGATTGACCGATTAGTGCGTGTTGTCCATCAACGAACATTATTGTTGTCGTTCTCTGTCAATCAGCCGTGATGTAAGAGCAATTTGCTATTATTCGCCGCTCGTCTACACACCTTTGTCTACGAAACAAACGCACGTGCCTTCATCATTCCTTTCTCCTTATTCATTCAGGCGAATTTTTAATAGGGCATTATTTACACTTGATTGTTAAGGTATTTCCTCCATCTTCTTTTTCTTTATATGAAAACAACAAAGACAAGGAAAAGAAGCCCTATTAGGGCTTTTTTCAACAGATCAAACATCATCCACTTCGCATCTGAAGAAGAAAATCATCGTCATCATCATTATCATCAACGTCGCCGTTGTCGCGCACATTGTCATTACTGTTAGAGAACGTCAGCTAGTCTAATTAGCCGCTGCAATTTCCTCACGCATTGCGAAGTAAATCACCTGCATCGTTGCGTGTACACGAAACTAATATTTACTGGTTTGGGCTGGTCACATTTTGACATGATACTGATAATAATCATCGATAACATTGTTGATTATGCAATCGAAAACGAAACGAAAGACGATTAGCTCATTATGTACATATTGCAATTGGACGAGAGAAATCTCAACATATGTATATAAATTTATGTCAATAGGTGGGAAAGAAAATGAGTGAGAGTCAATTAAATCAATGCCAAAGAATTTTCTCTCTCTCTCTCTCTCTCTCTAGGAAGTAGATATGAACGAAGTGTATTTGTTTTCGTAATCAAGAATTAGATCATTGAAAATATGATTATTAAAAAAATGAGAAAATGCAATCTTGGAGGATAAAGTTCGATTTTAATAAATCGGGATTTATTTGAATAACTTCTTGAATTTTCATTGTGGTTTATCCTCTGACGTGAATCAGCAAGGCAAACGACGAAATACTGTTGACATTCAACAACGCACAAGTGGAAACTTGTCCGCCTGGCATCGGAATTGCTTCTCATTTCTTATGCAGCTTGGCAATGTCATGCTTCTCACCGAATGTACTAATTTACATTTGCTTACTTGTTGTCATCGTCTTGGCAATATTGATCCACATCACATCTATTCATCTGATTATTCTTTTCACCCTCGTACCAATCTGTTACTTGGAAAATCAGATTGCCAGACGTGTACTTCGCTGTAGAAGAAAAATATTGTTCTTTGTTCGTCACATCGATCTCTAATGGACTGCACTATAACAGCATAGTTCTGCACCGGAAGTCAATTTTCTCTGCTTACCAGGGTGTATGTGCACAGACTCTGCTAATGTTTCCAAACACACATAGGAAAAGACTGGAAGGGGGAAGCAAAAAAAAACCGAGTAGAAAAAGAAGGAAGAGGAAAGAAGAAAGATTGACATGGCAGATCTAAAAAACGAGTCATCCAGTCACTCCACAGGAAATAACTGCTGATGCTTGAACTTTTTGTGATGAAGATGAAGATGATGATGATGAAAAAGAAACGATATAACCACTGAGTCCGCTGACAAATGAAGGGAAAAAAACAAAGAAGAGAAACAAAAACTGAAATATTCATTTCCTTTGTAATGATTATTCAAAATTGAAGGAAAATATCTTCGCAAGCCGAACACATCAAATCAAAATGTCCAATTTGTTGAATTTCGTCGTAAAACTTATGGAATTCGATTTGTAACAGACAATACTCTCACGTAGAACCTTGATATCTTTTGTTGTACTCCAACAAATATTACACTCATCCAATCGTTCTTTTCTTTTTCTTTTCTCTATTACTTCAGTGCTCAACAAGAAAAAGAAAGCGCAGACATTCCACCCGCACGCAAACACGTAGATAGGCTCATCTCAATGAGTAAGAACGCTTGTGATTGGCTAAANATGTAGCAGCGGGTGGGAGAAGAAAGACTGGAAATGCCGCTCCTTCTCCAGCTCTTAATTATCGATCGTTTGTCTTTCTTGACTAACGATATTCAACAAAAAAAAGTCAACAATAATCGAATAAACTAATCCTTTTTTCTTTTGCTAAATCAAATCGATTGACAATCAAAGAATTGATTGTTCGAGTAGTACATCATGTTCATCTAATTGCCATTTTTTTTTCTCTTAACTAGTTGGCTATCACACAACGACAACCCCGTCGTCGACATCATCATCAACTTCTTCGACCAACGCTGGCGGTGGCGGTGGCAATAGTTCGAGAGTGAAAAATGATTATGATAATGGATCTGGACGGGGAAACGATTCTGGTTCGAATGCAGGTCATCAACAACAGCAACAACAATCATCGCCATGGTCATCATTGGTGAAATCTGAATCACCGCATGGAATCAGAGGTAAAAGATAATCAACGAATGAAATGTACGAAAATGAATCTCTTCAAATCTAGATCCTTATTCGACGTTTACAAGTCAATCCTTTTTTCCTCATAATGCTCATCGATTTGGCGGAGGAGCTGCTGGTAAATATCCTCACGAAAACATTTTCTATCCAAATGTTTGTGTTGATTATCATAGGTACTGGTCAAATTCAATTATGGCAATTCCTACTTGAATTACTAGCTGATGCGAGTGGCAATGCGAATATCATCGCATGGGAAGGTTCCAATGGTGAATTTAAATTAATCGATCCAGATGAAGTTGCACGCCGTTGGGGCGAGCGAAAATCCAAACCAAACATGAATTATGATAAATTATCACGTGCATTACGTTACTATTACGATAAAAATATCATGACAAAAGTTCATGGTAAACGTTATGCATACAAATTCGATTTCAATGGTTTACATCAATTGAATCAACCCCAATTACCTGAATCACCTTATGCAAAATATCAACAAGAAATGATGCGTTCGTCACATGCACACGCAGCTTATTTCAAATGGAGTGCACTGAGTTCAGCAGCTGCAACATCGTCTGCTGTTCACATGCCACATCATCCTCATCATCATCACCCAGCAGCAGCCGCAGCAGCATCAACTGCATACGCGCCCTATTGGAATCACACGAGTACATACGACTATGCAGCTAATTTCACCACACCGAATCCATATTTATCAACGTACAATTGGGTTAGTCCAACAGCAAGTACCACTTCATCGACAATCACGTCCACGGGAACAGGAGGACTATCATCAACAAGCACAGCATCTACTGCCATTTCTCCATCATTACCCTACTGAAATTGACGAAGAAAAACATTCCTATTGTTCTGTTGTGTACAATTCCTTTTCTTTTCTTTCTCTGTCTTATTCTTTTTTTTTTTGAGTGAATTAAAAAATCACACACCATTATCAGCACGTTATCTTGATTATCGTCACACGAGCCACCTGGACATAAACATCTGCATGCAAATGTGACAATGACTGTCTATCTAGTAAAATTCACTTAGCATGAATAATGATCGATGGTTATTCTGTTATTGTTGTTAATATTATTCTCGAGATGAACTTATTCAAAATTTTTTATATATGTTCTCTTTTACCTTCTGCTTTTTGCTACTTCATGTGTATATATATGTTTGTGTCTAATTGAATATGAGAAGTGTCGTTCATTTCCGTTCGTCCTTTCGCCTATTGATTCACACCTTACATCATAGTTAACTTATTGAAAGATCAAACTCCACTTTAAAGTCAAGTGCAGTATCGTTTGATTGAATTGTTTCTTCGATGTTTTTCGAAAACAGTGTCAACGACACGAATGAATAAGACGGAAAGAGCGCGATTGAAGAAAAGAAGAAAAGGATATGTTGCACTCTTGAATCATGTAAGCGTGTTATCAATAAGACGACAACTGTAGAGAAAACGTTTAATGTTGAATGTCAATGATTAGATATGACAATAGACAATTTCATCTTCAATTTCGTCTTTTTTTCTTCTTCGAACTAACCCATTATAACAGCTGGCGCGATTTTGCGACACATAAAATAATAAACAATAGTTAACGGAACTTTTTCAATGCCATGTTTCTTTTCAATTTGATTTTCGTTCGAAAATGCTCGCTTTAACTACGAAAATCTTGTTTGTCTTCATTTGCATATTCATACAATCCAGCATACAAAATGCTCATGATGACATAGGTAGGTAGAATCTATACATCACGGTAATTGAGTTGTTACGTGTCATCTATTTAACAGATTATACCGATGATGATTCCGCTTCAACGAACGATTTAGTACCGCTGACCTCAACAACAAAAATCACACCATTAACTGATAAAACGACAGTTTCATCAACAATCCTAACTACTTTATCTACAACATCGACTACCAGACAAACTCGTACGGCCTCAGTTGTTTTAAAAAATCAATCGACAACACTACAAAGTCGACTCTTCACTGCAGCACCAATAGCACCTTATATTCTTGCGAGTACGATCGTTGATCAGTTTAATCACTATCGAAATGTTGATATACTCGCTCGCATCAAACAGTGCGATTCGAAATTTAAACTATCCGATATGTGCGAGGTCTACACTATTGATAATCATACCTATTCAGTTATACGTGAGGCTAACATCGGATTTCAATCATTGCAGCAAGCCTATGAAATCTTAGTCGATCGATCGGTTATCACTAAACTGAACACGTTCTGTTCACCAGGTGAATGGTGTTTGGGAAATGTATCTCAGGCAGATATTCATTTCACTGCAAATGTTCTACGACAACGTGGGCCATCATTTTGTGCATTGGAAAAATGTCGTCAACGTTTGACAGTGTTTGTTAACACATGTCCTGCACTTGCATCGATAGTATATTTTCATTTTCAATCTATCGAAATCGCCCCTTGTCTCCGTTTCTTATTTAGAATACAAGCGCTCAAACAGTAAAACTACTACCGATGTTATGTACACTTTATAAAGAACCACAGGCATGGAATTCGAACGGATGTGTTAAACAAATCGTACATCTCTTGCATATTGTGTATGCATTTTGGCCGCAAGTAGAGGTAAGGATGTGTTACACGAATACGAGTTAATTTGTTTTCTTTCTCTCACTTAAGGAATGTCATCGCACGATTACAACTAATTCTGGTGGATGTACAGCGAATTGCTTAGCATTCGATCGTCTTTTGCGTAAGGTGCAAAGTCAATGCAGTCCAACTGCTACATTTTTACTTCGGTAAGACAGTAGAGTAGCTTTGTGCAAGGTTAAATACATTTCTTTTTGCATTGAAAAAGTGTACCGGCATTGACTTGGTTTCGATCGATTAATTTACAAGAAGAATGTAATGATGGATTTAGTCCTGCGATATCTCCATTCATTTCTTCCGTAATTAGTATTATTATTTGAATTGGTAACCAATAAAAGGTTTTTTCTTAGATGAAAACTTTCATGGCGTCGAACATGCAATGGTATCGAATGCACCAACGACCGGTTCATGCTGCTCTTTTTATCATCGTCGTCATATGTATTATTGTAAGCTTTTCTCTGTGTCTGTATGTCATGTCAAAGAATGATTACGAGTCAAGTAGTCGTCGTTTCGATGATGATTACGAATATACACGATTGCATGACTCAACATTTGAACTTGGTGCAAATACAGAAAGTACGTGTCTTTTCCATTTCAGAATGAACTCGAAAGATTTCTTATCTAGTACCCAATTCCACACTGTCATCGAATAATGAATCATCATTTGATATACGTAATCATCAACAACGTTCGTCTGAACATCAACGCTTATTATATATGGACCCGTAATTGCATAGACGATCTCTCTGTTTGCTTTTTCTATTAATAAATAATCTCAGTTGATTAACAATGAAATTCGATATATTTTATTTTTGATTTCTTAATTCTTGTCATCCGACACGAGTTGCTATAGATTCTCAGACACTGCTTCTTCTCCTTCCTCCGTATGTCTTCTACACATTTTTTTTTCATCTCATCCTCCATCAAATACTCAAAGGAAGAAAAAAGTAACTGTTTCTAAGTTACACTGGTATGTTATGACACCGTTTTTCTCTCCATTAATGTTATTGGTGAAGAATACTCTTCTTCGAAACAAGCAACATGACACAATCCAATGATTTGACATCATTACTATTTCAATTACAACAACTTCAGCACTCAACAGATTATTCAACAATCAGCAACACAATAGATGCTCGTTTTCATACAAAAATCGATGAATTAATTACAAAATGGATATCCAATGAGAATCTTTCTGCTGATGAAAAATCTTTCTTTGATTTGTACTCGAATAATCTCTTATCGCCTGTCGAATATTGTCTCTTTCATGCTGATGAAACAGTCGACATATCCACAATTACTGGTGCATTTCGTCGAAATCTATTTCAGAAAACCTCTACAGATACATTAATAGAAGCTGTTGAATATATCCGTGAAGAACACTGGAATCATCGTGATGAAAATGATGTTATTCTTCTCTACATCATGAAAATGATCGATGCACGATCGTATGCATATCGATTACAGATTGATAGTTTGACCGATATGCTTCCGCGAACGCTCTATAGTGAAATATACGATAGTTTGATTCATCGCCATGCAAAGAAATACCTCTACAATGTGAAGTCTGTCGATAAAAAAAACGAGAAGATCGTGATTAGTAATCGTCATCGGTTCTTTCTTGGATGTTCAACATATGCTGTTGCATTATTTCCCGAATATCAAAATCTATTGAAAGAAGCTGAACAGACGAAGTACATTTATTTACTTGCGAAGTATGTTCGAGTGATGTTGAAAATGAACAATTTCGAAAAGAATCCGAATATTCTTTACTGTCTTCGCGGTGTTTTGGCTTTGTTGAATAATTGTGTTCCCGTCCAGAACTGGATGCATATTATTAACAAAGCCATGGCGAATCCAAACGATGTGAATGCTCAACAAGCGAATCCATTTAACGTTGATCTTTTCTCATTGATTGTCAAACGATTATTAGCATCGAATATCATCCATGATAAAGCCGTTGGTTCTAAGTCACCTACTGTCACATCACTAGTGGATGTTGCATTAATATTCCTGAATAAATGGTTTGGCTCAGCAATGGATCGAGATGAGGATGAAAGCGATGCAACTAATGAAGAACAAAGCGAACTTTTGCAATTACTACGTTCGAATGACGACTTTAACGATAAAAGGAATACAGCTCAAATCGTTTTTACGTATATTAAAGCAGAATATGATCGTCTTCGGTTTATGTCGATCGCGATCTTATCATCATTAATGAGTTATGATGATTTGGAAAAACTACAACGAAGAGTCGATCATATTTGGAAGGATATCGTAACGTTAATATTCCAATTTATCAATCGAGCAGTTGCCCATGAATCGAAGCAGTATAAAGGCATATCATTTGGCTTGCTCCTTTGTTATTTGCATCGATTTCTTACGCAGGATGGTGCTAAAAAAGAAACCTTACCGTTCGTTTCACAAATTGTTCAATATGCTCGAGATGGTGAACTAACTGCATTGAAGATTCTTCGCCGAATATCGACAAGTCCATCGATTCGATCCGAACTAACAGCAAATACCGATTTCGAACGATTGATCAATACAGACACGAATTTGTTTCATTCGGAATCAAGAATGTACAAATATATCGAAGATATTCGCAGAAATCTTCAGCCAATCGAATACGAAAGCAACCAAGGTAAATATAATTTCATGACAGTATTTCAATTTTAGAAATTCGTTCTTTTAGATGTAGAGGAGAGTGACGATCGGCAAGCATTCATTTCATATTCACACAAAAACAAAGACAAATGCGATCAATTCTATCAGATCTTGACACGAGCTGGACTTTTCACGAAAATTTGGCTCGATCATATGCACGTGGAAGGAAACGTTATTGATTCAATCGTTAGCGGTATCAAACAATCAGAAATTGTTTTCGTCCTACTGAGTGATTCTTATTGTCGGTCGGACAAGGATAACACGTGCCGACGCGAGTGGGAATTTGCTGTGGCTTGTAAGAAACTTGTTTGTCCAGTACTCGTCGAAGAAAGTTTTAAACGAAAAACATACGATTGGGTGGCATTTCTCATTGGTTCGGATCTTTACTATAAACTCCACGATGGAAACGATATGAAACGTTTGGTTAAGGCTATACAGACAAATAAACGTAAGTCTTCGTCGAAAGCCGAGAGAAAAACAACGGAAAAATTTGATTCACCGTCGTTGACTACCGATAATCCGTCTAATGATCGTGAAACCGTAGATAAGCAACCTATCGCTCAATGGACTCGTGAAAATGTACAAAATTGGTGTCGTGACAATAGTCTCGATCAATGGCGTGAACCATTAAGTCAATATAGTGGTTTAGACTTATTGGAATTGAATAAAGTTTTGAAGAAAAATGCATATTTACATCGTGTCGCGGATAACCATCGAATACCTCTACTTGATGTAATTAAATTTCGACGCGAACTGAGAAAATTAGTGTCGGAAACGACTTCAACGCCAAAAAGCGCCGTTCAGAAACCAGTGACAAAACGTCCTATTTCAAAATCAACAGTAAAATAACGATTTTTACTCTGTTTTTCATCTTTGTTCTTTTTAAAAAGCAAATGCTATAAAATACGTCGAAAAAGTTTAAAGAATTGCTTCAATTGCCTTGGTAATTTCTTCATCTGTAGGTTTGACTCGGCTATTCCATGCAGCAACGAGATGGCCTTGTCGATCAATCAAATATTTATGAAAATTCCATTGCGGTAAAATATCTTTACCACCAGCATCGATGATCCATTGAAAAACTTCAGTTGGTGTATCTTTGTCTTGTTTAGTTGTCAATGGAAAACTCGTTTTGAATTTACTTTCATACAATGAACAAACTTGTGGCTCATCACCGGGCTCTTGTTTGCCAAAATTATTGCATGGAACACCCTAAATAAGTGAATCGATGTCATTTTTCTCGTCATACTTTTCATAAAAATCATTCCTACCAAAACAGTGAAGCCTCGGTCTTTGTATTTGTCTTGTAATTCTTGTAATGTGTATAATTGTGGTGTATATCCACATTCACTAGCTGTGTTCACAAGTAAAATAACTTTGTTGCGTAATTGATCCATGTTCAATGGTTGACCTTTGATATCGGTAAATTGACGATCGTAAAACGATGGTCGGCTAGCTGCATCAGTAATGGAAGTGTGACGCGCCGAGAAAAGTGATTTACCAAATTGAAGAATAGAAGCCATGTGTTCTTGTCCTTTAGTGTTGAATAAAAGTGCAATAGCTAAACAGAAAGTGGAGAAAGACAGAATGTGAATTGGTTTGAAAGACATTCGGTTTTATAGGACGAACATCGAAGAACGCGAACTTAAAATAAAATCAAGTTTAAGTAAAGAAATGACGAAGCAAAATATATTCTATGTTGTCATCTATTTCAAAATGGTAATGATAAGGATAGAGAAAGAATAAGTAAGTAAAGAAATATCGAATGCATTCCCGATTGGTTGTATTTGGTTGAAACTTCAGATGGTGCTAGTCAACAATGATAATCGATTATTCATAGTAGATCAAATCTCGCTGATTTTATCGCGTATTTAAACAATTACTTTGAACAATCTTCTTATCATGTTTTTTTTTCTTCATTCGACTCGATCGTTCACTATTAATGGTACATTTTCTTCAAGTAATCGACAAAAGTGTGTCAATGAGAGTTCAGAACAATTAATCATTCTTTAGTGATCATATTCCTGATAATTCACATTATCATGAAGATATTCGTTCTCTCCGACATGCCTTTTGTTTATCAATAGAATGTTTTGTAATCGATATCAACTATGCTTTTGTATACAACATATTGTATCGTTTAACTCGAGCTGATTTTTGTGCTTATCAAATACAAAAATAAAACTGACGTTGACTCATCGACGTGTATCTTTGACCTTCATTGATAGGTTCAATATTATGCACGACGACATATGATCCTATCCACAGCGAACATATGCGAGTCGCGCTTATCAGTTCTCAACAGTACAAAAAAAAAAAGAGAGAAAAATACTTTCACAATGTTCGTTCTGTCTGTGTGTCTGTTCGTATCCTCAAGCAATGTGTACATATATAGCACAACACACAAGAAGAAAAAGTAATCGAAAGAAAGAGAGAGAGAAGGAGAAAGAAAAAACGTTTATCATTCACTAGTTCATTGGTGTTGACAACACTTTTCTTTTCTCCCATTTGTATTGAAGCGAAATAGAATAGATCTTGTTGATATTCAGGTGAGAACGAGTGATTACTTACTCTTGTAGAGGAATGTTGGATATTTTAATTAGGAAGAAAAATGTTCTCGGTAAACAGTCGTTCGAGTTTGATCTACTGCTTTAGTTTCCTCCTTCAACATCGATTACATCGAATGCGCGCGCGCGTCCGTCATTGATTAGTCTACATTGCATGAACTGTAACTTGTTCTTTGTGAGTTCGACTGATGTGTGGTGATATCTAATTAATATCAACATCAGTCTCGTATATTCTTTCGGTTTGAATTGAAGAGAAAAGGGTGGTGAGTTTATTTTCTTTCTTTTTGATACATCGAAAAGTTCAATGAGCCGATAATATGTAATTTGACCGTATGACTATTGTAATGCTTCTTTCCCCCAACTCTCTCTCTCTCTCTCTGTGCGTTTTGTTCAATGAAAACGATGAAAACTTGAGAAGGTGGCAATCATTTATTGAATTTGTTCATGTTATACTCCTCAATAGCAACCAAGCAAGCACCATCTATTGCTCACAGGTGCCACACAGTTATCAGTATAACCGATGATCACCTAAAGCTAGAGAAGAAGAAGAAGAAGAAGAAGAACAACGAGCCTTGAGGAATCTATATAGATGTATTCATTTCATCGTCTCTCTGTTGCATAATCATTCAAATAGTAGTAGCGATATAAGTCATTCATCAATGTGGAAAGACTAGTGCTTGTGATCTAATCTCGTTATTGGCATTACTAACGTTCATTTTCTTCTTTCTCAATCGAATGACTGTGTCCATACAGACGCCGAGATCAAACTAAATGTCTACGTCGAAAAAAAGTCAAAATCGAACGATTCCATCTGCTCGTATTATTGTAGGACACATGAGTTTAATAAACGATTCGCTTCTTTCTCTACTTGTTATGCTTTCGCTATTGAAATATCAAGACTCTGTCTTGGCCTATAATTGTTCCTTTACGTCTTCTATTCATTCTTCGACGATGATTATGTACTGCCGAAAATCGTTCGTAATAGTTACAGTTTATTCTACACCCGCAGTTATTCTTGTCCTTTCTTTTTCTCTTTCTTTGTATTTCTCTAACTACCTGCAAAGGATATACATTTATTAAATCATTCGAACATGCAATTTCTTGTATGATCTAGATATTTTGTTTCGTCTTGTAGATAATGAAAAGTTTGACCATTGCAAATCAACGTTCTTGTGAATCTCCTCGATCGGTAGTTTTCATTCAGTCATCACAATACAATTCGATGTTCACTCATTTATATTTTAGTTAATGTCTGATGTTATTGATAGTAGTTCAAGTACAAGCGAATCCAGTCGTAGTTCAAAGTCTCTACTTCAGTTAATAACATGGTAAAGTGAAAACATACTCTTCCTTTGAAATTTGTTCTGTATTTTGAAATTTTCTTTCAGCCCAATCTGTCTCGAAATCTTCCGTGAACCATTACAATTACCGTGTCAGCATACGTTCTGTAAATCATGTCTCGAACGAATAACGGATGATCGATGGGGTCGATGTAAAATAATATGTTGTTACTAACCGATTTCAACATTCAATTTGTTTTTATGAATGTTCATAGGTCCTGTATGTCGCGGCTGTTATCGAGTGCCATTCGCCGGTGTGGGTTCATTCGAAGTCAATCGAACGATTGTGAATCTTCTAGAAAGTCTGCCACATACCGAACCGAGACCAATGCTCAAAGCGAAATGCGCCTTCTGTAAATTGGAAGATACAATTACGGTAACTATACATGAGATATACACAGAGAAAACATAGAATCGAAGCATCTGTTGATTAGGCGTGTGAACACTGCCGTGAAGCCATATGTCGCAAATGTCGTCGGCAGCATTATGATGATTTTTGTAAGTATATTACGACGAAATTAAATGAAACTCAACAAGAAACAGAAAAGTTAATTGCAAAAGAAGGTAATTCGATTCGACGATGGTTTTGTAATCGAATAATCGTTTTTGATTATAGCGGAAAACATAAAGAATCACGAAGAAAATGTCCGTCGATCAGATGAGATTGCTGATGTGATTCGGAATAAAGTTGCGACTTTAATTGAAAAAATTAAACAAGAAGAAACGAAGTTGATTCACAATGTTGAAGAATTTCGAAATGCTGAACAGAGGTGGATGTATTTTTCTTGAAGATTTGTTCTAATGAATAGTTTTGATCTAGGCTGATTGATGAGAAAACGACTCGCTTGCACGATCTTTCTACAATTAACGAATTTTGCACCACCTCACAAGAGAAATTGCGAAAGTAAGCAGATTAACAAGAAATTTTCGTGAATGATTTCATTCTCGTTGTAGCAAAGAAGAAACTGATCAAGAAGCAGTTGAAATTCGTCGAAAATGTGAGGATTACGTTTTAAACATCAACGATCTCCAAAGTCAAATACTTGTCGTTAAAACACCGACTCGCCGAGTATGACAAACCTACTTCCTTTCTTCCATTATTCACTTCGAAACTTCACTCTAGATTTCATTTTTCAACCGAGATATATCCTCAGATGCTATCTCACTCGGTTTCGTCGAAGTTGGTTTAACTCTTGAACCTATCGAAACATCTGTTCAACTGTCATCTGTATCCTATCCATCATCGTCATCGAAAACTGACCCGATACCTTCAGCGCCTTCCATCGATGTCGATTTACAGCAATGTCCTAAACAACTCTTCCATTGTTTAAGTGCTTCATTATTGCAACAACCAACAAATGATAATTCAATTGGCCCGTCTCCGTCCTATCGTTCGAATGTCTCAATAACGGAAAATAATGGCTATTGTCGTCAACAACATTCGCAAAATCATCGACGAGCACCACGTATTATTGGTAAACGAGGAACACGCGACACAGAATTCATGCATCCATCGTCTCTAGCTTATTCAAAACGAGATCAATTGATATGTGAGTGGTAGCATGTTTGGAAAAAAGAAAGAACATCATTTTGATTCTATACATAGATGTGTGCGATACTTACAACAATCGGCTGGTTACATACAATGTTGAAGGTGTTTTTCAACAAGTTTATAACGATACAACTGAAACAGGTGAAGTACGATTTTATCACCCGTACGCCGTTCATATCGATTCTGACAATCGACTTTACCTAATCGATCAATCTGAGCGACGTATAAAAGTATTCAATCGTGACTTTAAATTAATTCGTGTTATTGGACAATATGGTCGAGATGTTGGTCAATATTCTGCACCATGTGATCTGTGTACAAATGAACAAAAATATATCTTCGTGTGCGATGCAGGTGGCCATCGAATCTTGAAATACAACGAGCAAGGCCAGTTTCTTCTTGCATGGGGTGGACTTGGTACTGATCATGGACAATTCAAATGTCCTGCCTGTGTTTGTGTGCTTAGTGGAGATCGATTAGCTGTATCTGATTGGGGCAACGATAGAATACAAATATTCAATAGTGAAGGCGATCATTTGTTATCGATTGGACAACGTGGAAAACTTTTGTCGGAATTTTCTCGTCCATTGGGTCTGGCGTATGATGAAGGAACAGAACGATTGTTTGTTTGTGATGAAGGAAATAATCGTGTGACAATATTCAATCAAGATTTTACAGTCGCCGAGCTTGTACATTCAAAAATCGGTTTTCATGGACCGTACGATATCTTATTACTTAAAGATGGTCGAATTATGGTTTCAGAACATCGAGCACATCGTTTACAAATCATTTAGTTGACCGTTTTCTTTTTGTTTCGTTTATGATGAATTTTCTCCTCAAGTCAGATGAGCGATTGAAATAGAGTGAGTGACATAACGTTTGTTTTGTATATTGAATTTTTAATCTATTTCTTTCAATTCAATTCAATAAAAATCATATTTAAAAATATGTCAAAACTGTTTGCGTTATGACACGCCAATCAAATATACTATAGTCATTGAATTATCAAAAGGTCAATTCGGGCTGAAGAGTATAGTATGATTCATTATTTTTAATACTTGAAATACGAAAGAAAAATAGCCTATAATTTACGATAATAGATGAGTTCACCTGCTTCACCGGGTGCTGATTGTTCACTGGGAATGAAAAGAGTGACGATCAGAATACGTTCACCCTTCCATGTTGTCAATGTTATGGTTGGATTTGCAAATGCTTGACTGCCTTTATCGGTAACAATAGTCACTTGATCAGCATTGCCTGTTTGAGGATCAAAAATGAATGTTCGCCAAGTGCCGAAATCTTTTGGTGTATATTGTCCCTCGATGGCAGTGAATGCGTAACCATTGAAATCTGAAATAGCATCACGATCACCGATATTACCTTGTACGCCGTAATGAAGTAAAGCATTATCAACATTGGGTTGTTTCTTAATTTGAACCCATAGATTGAAATTTTTCAATGTTGCACGAGCTTGTCGATCAACAATACAATTATCATAAAAATGAAAGCCGACATCAATATTATTCAATGTGGGTTGACCGTATATGTTGGGTGTGCCTTCAGCGCACCGGGACAATGTACGTGGAACAGAATAATTTAGTTTAGAGGTGCCAGCTTGTAAGTCGGACCATGTGAGATAAAAAGAAAAACGTAAGTGATTGCTCGGTTCTTGTTCCCAAGCAACTATGTAGCCTTGAGGTTGATCAGCAGGTACAACAATTGTCGGTTGTGAGCCATAATAGGCTAATTCGCGAAGCCACGTCCAATTTAACAAATCATCTGATACAGCTAAATTCACTCTTGGCACATTATTAACATATGTATGATAAACTCCAATAAATTGTTCGGTATCAGTTCGTTTAATGATCTTCACACAGTCCATAGTGTTTCCAAGATTATCACGTGAGGCATATCGACGTCCGTCAGCGCCACGTACATCACCGATCAGTGATACCAGTTTATGGCGCGCATCATCTGATGGAGCTTGCCCGCTAGTAAGAGATGCGATACAACCTGTCAGTACAAAGATTAACATCCACATTGTGAATCTATTGATCATAGAAACGATACATTAGCAGATATACACATGAAGATACTAGCGACGGCTGCAATAGTTTCTCATCATATATTTGCTTTCCAGCAAACTCGAATCAACACTTATCTGAGCATGGGATAAACTAAGTGATGAGAAAAAAAAGCATCGACCCCATGCTTATTTTTTTTGTAATTGTTTAATGACTAATCATTCGATAATCGAGCGAAGGCAACTAAAATATATGACATTTCATCGAGTGTATACGGAACACCAGAAGCGCATGAGGCAATCTTACTTTAAAAACGTGTTGCATAGCCTACTGATTCAATTTCTGTATGACGAAGTAATCAAAATGGGGCGAATACATTAACATATATAAGAGCACAGTAAAATAATGAAGTCACTCTTAACGATTGAGCCACAGTACATCTATAACTATCTTAGGAAAGTGCTATTTAGAGTAGTAACACGCCAGCCGTGGCATAAGATATCAATGCGGTGTGAATTGCAAATATAGATCCGAGAAACGGAAACATGTTTGTTAAATCATATTGACAATGTTTCAGAAACATATTCAATCATTTTTTTTTCTTTTCTGAACACTAGAATATAAATAATCAAACAGAAAAATCCATAATCGATAACGATCGGAAAATAAATGAAGTAAAAATAAGAATGAGCAGAGTAAACGGAATGGAATTAGACGGAAGACGCGTCATTGTCAATGCGTTGTAAAAGTAACTGCCAAGCATGTTCAACTTGTTTCTGGGTAATACTCTCAGCCCAGTAAGTACAAAGAAGAACATTAGCATATGGTAATCGAGTTTCATTCGACATTTGCGCGTCCAAACGGCGTTTTACTTCTTCGACTGATAAATGATCTCTTTCGACAACGCGTCGAATGGCCTATGAGAAAAGATTTATGAATAAATCTGATAGAAGCATGTTATCAACAACTGACCTCTTTTGGAGGAATCGATGCAATCCATATTTCATTGACTGCAACGGTCCACTTTGCTTCAAGTAACACAGCTGCATCAAGTACAATGATGCGTTTACCTGGATGAATGAACTGTAGATTTTCTTGGGAAATTTTCTATTTTACCTTGTTGAAAGAATTGTTCGATACGTTCTTGTGCTAAGTTTAATATCGCAGGCCAAACAATGTTGGTTAGTTTTTTCATTTCATCGGGCGACTGAAAGACTTTTTGGCCGAGTATTTTCCGATCAATGGAACGGTCAGTAGGATTGATAACGTCATTTCCAAATGTTTCGATGACTTTTCTATACGCATCAGTATCGACTTTATACGCTTCATGACCTAATTTATCACAATCAACAACAGCGGCACCAAGTTTTTCTATGCGACGTGCAATGCTTGACTTTCCTGATCCTATGCCACCAGTAAGTCCAATAATGTATGGTCGATTTGGTTCACTAGCTTTCTAAAAACGATAAGAATGACGCGATACTAAACAAGAAACAAATCTATTCTACCAAAGGTTGTCGAAGGAGAGTGCCAAGCATTTCTCGTCGAAGTGACGTCGAGCTCAATTTAATGTCACCGTCGAGATTATCTTCGTCGGCTGGAACCATTGATACGACATGTACTGGTAATTGAGAAAGTTTGTTTTCCGCTCGTTCTTTATTCACCTGTGCAGCACCTTGTTGAGTCTCTTCAGTAACGATAATACACTAAATCATCACATTGTATCCGTATGGAAAAAGAAAAACAATATTACATTCAAATCTGGCATAGTTGCCGATGGTCCGCACGGATCTTCAATTGGTTCACAATGAACATGAATACTAGGTCGAATTAAATAAACAAACGAACTGACGTTCGACATACGTTTAGCAACCGGTTCGATAATTTCTCCTAATACCTACGTAATTGACATAAGTTTGAAATGAATTCATGCCGATGAAAAGTTTGAAGAGAACATACTTTGTTTTGTATCATGATTCCATCAGTAACACCAACGACGATTTTCTCATCGCAAAGAAGAGCACTTTCGGTTAGTAACAGTTTGTGGCCATTGTGTAATCTATCAAAAGTACCTTAATCGAGAACAGATATCAGATGTAAGATGTGTCATTTTCACGAAACATACCACCAAGAACTCCTCGATTGTATGGAGTTGTGGATTTATGACTGAATAAGTCGTTTTCCCTTGTAGATGAATTCTCAATCAGTTGATCTTCTTTTCCGTCTTTCTCATCGATTGTACGAAGTTCGAAATTTTGATCTAATTGATGGAAATGATTTCGACAATAATCGTACAATCCCGGCGATGGTGAACAATCAGCAAAAACAGCTTCGCATAGACTAGGCAATCGTAATGGATTGGTTGACTTGATCACTGAATCGACATTATGCAATAATACATCAACTGAAGGATTCTTCGTGGACGTCACTTGTTTATAAATTGCATGTAACATTGGACGTATACATCGTTTTTGTTGTTCTCGATCGAAGAATCTTTCTGGTGAAGCGTTTGATGCCTGCGTATGGAGATTTTGAACAACAATGTACAGATTTCGTTCAACATACGGAATGACTGCAGATAGGATCGATGGAATACGCGAGCGTATTGGGTTTGTTATTAGCAGAAGTGCCGTTTGAAATCGTCTGATGTTTTTCTCAGTCATGATGACAAAAAGCACCGATCAATCGATTGTTCTAACTCCAGTCAATATCTGCTATGTTATCTAAAAGAAAAGGACTTCTTTCAAGCTTATTCCCACACATTTCTTCAAGTTATCTTTCGCAAAACACAAATAGTTCCGAACTGAAATTCTTTTCATGTTTTGATTGGATTTTATTTTTGAAAAGACAAGACAACAGCATCCTATTGCACATAAAAATGGTGAGAGAAAGAACACCGTACGTGGATATCTCTAGAGGAATGACGACTACTCAATCAAACGATAAATATTAATCGAAAGAATAAAATTTGATGGGAATTCATCTATTCGAGTGATGTTAATGTTGTAAGTTGCTTTAAAACTTTGATTTGACTAGTTTCTCGGATTTCTCCAGCGAGGAACATTTCATCGACGACCGAATAAACCTGAAAAGACAGAATAACACGAGCAACAGAGCAAAGTTCGCATTACTTTGTAGAAATTGAAGACTAAATCCAGTTCGCAGACATTATGGAAAAACCTTTCGACAAAAAATCAAGGTCACATCAATATACCGAAAGTTTACCTTCAACTTACTCATTAAGAACCTCGACAAAATTATGAATTGCTTCTAAATAAGCTAAATTATTATCATTCACATCCACGCAGATGCAAAAATATAAACCAGCATAACGACGATAGACTATTTTAAAGTTACGGAACTAAACAAACAAAGAATCTCAGAAACATTTCATCAATTTTAATGTTCATACTTCGACGAAGCTAAAAAAACAAGCAAAATACATTTCTCCAATTGACAAAACTTCTTTCTTCACTTACTTTGTATGTTTCGCATCGCGTACAGTGACTAAAGCATGAACTTCTTCGATCAATTTTTGTTTTTCATCATCATGAAAGTTCATAAACCTATTCAAAACGAAAATTCAAAACGTTCAAAAAAACAAGACAAACTTTTCCTTCATACCATTTTGCTAATCGTGTTTTTCCTGCTCGATTTTGAATGAGAATAAATCGAATCATAGTTGATCTAGAATCAAAGCGAATTCGATTTGTCATTTTCCTAATTTCATTGTTAGAAAAACAACTAAACATTTTATCACGAATCCTACGAGTTGAAATAAAAATCTCGGCGAAAAAATCTTCCATAACATCAAATGTCTTCGTAAAAGAAACACACTCAACGAAGTTGTGAGTAATTTACAACAATCAACGATCAAAACACGCTTTAATAAAGTCGTATCAGAGGTTTTTCGGAGCATTTTTCGAATGAATATCACATTTAATATCTGACCGGAAAAGGTTTCAATGAGAACGAAAATTCCACGAAGAATCAACGAATTCATCACTAATGAAAGATAAGCGTTTATCGGCGAATTTAACGTTGGAAATGCAGCTGTCCAACGGATTTGCGAAATCACAGGTTGATGACCAGTTGCATAAAAGAAATAGTCGGATAGTAATGAAAACAATAACGGTATAGACTGACCACTTGTCTCGAAAAGAATTCTATAGAGAAAATATTGCAGAAATATCACGAATGAAAATCGATAGCCAACAACAAAGATTAGAATTGAATAAATTAGAGTATCGAAACGAGATGGTCTGTAGATCACAAAACAAATCTGAACGAGAATACTTAGATAGAATATCGGTAATGTATGTGGAATGTTGAACCAATAAGCAACGATGGTTAAATATGAAAGATGGGAATAGTTTGGTGTCAAGTAAAGAATAATAAACCAAAGAATTGCAGATAAACATGGAAGAACATATTCGGAAGTATTCAAGGATTTTGACAGAAGCCAGTCGGGATCGAGACAATAGGGTTGTTGTTCTTCACGACAGATAAGAAATGCTCGAGAAAGAAATAATAGAAGTGAAAGGAGAAGTTTTTCGTAAAATCGTCGATTTGAGAGTAAAACAATTGTTTGAATTAGAAAATAAAGACACATTGCTTCATTGATTATAAAACTATTCGAAAATGATATGGCGAAGTACATGAATGCAAGCAAAATATAAAAGATAACATTGGAATAATCATTGAGATATTTTGAGACGTTGAAGTAGACGAAGAACAAGATTGTCGATGAAATGAGCATGATGAACAATCCAGTAAGAATTCGAGGAATATTAAATGTTGACCATTGACGACGAAAATGTGTTTGTAGTTTATGTTTAAATTCATTGAATAAGTTCTCAACTATAGTCGCATTTCGCTCTTTGTTGTTAACGAATATCGTATGCAAATTAGCCCGTAAGTTTTGTATATCATCGGATAATGGTAATGTCAAAGATATCTCGGCTAAGTATGCATCCATTTGCTGAAAATTTAATTTCATCGCTTGAAAACGTTGTTCCAATGGAATCAGATCTGTAATCATCATCCCCACATTCGAAAATGGTACTAATATGTGAAGATACCACGAGAGTGTTGGAACGAGATCAATCTGAGACACAACTTGTTCGTTTGTGTTCACTAATGGAAAGTAGTTGGCTTTCGTTGTGTAGAGAAACATGGCAGTTTCGATTTCATTTAACTCATCACCACCATGGTCACCTTGTTGAGTCATTCCATGATCACCGATCACCATCAGAAGCGACGGTGAGTCAAACTCATCTAGTTTTCTCGTTAAATTTCGCATCACATCATCCATTTGATTTAGTTTACGTTTCATTTCGGCGTGCAACGGACCATATCGATGACCACAGTGATCCACACCGAGAAAATGTGCAATCACAAACGAATATTCGTCATGTCGAGTATCTTCGAGAACTCTCCATAGATGTTCAAGGATACCATTATCAACTGTATCCAAATCATGCACATCAAACGATGGATAAACATGTAAATGTTTAAATGGAATGTTCGGATAAAGTGCCAACCATGTATCATCACCTAACAAGGAAATATTTCGTTGATAGACACTGGTTTGTAGCTGATTTAAGAGATTATCCTCTTCGATTTCGTATCCAATGAAATTGTAAGATATGTCGATAAATGTTGGCAATGTTCCAGTTGTTAGAGCCTTTAAACGTTGAAGTGTAGTGGTTGGAGGATCGGCTAAGAGTTTCAATAGAACAGATTGTTGTGGTCGGGTTTGGAGTAGTTCACGAATGAACGGCATTTGATTTTGGTAATTTGTTATCTTGAGATTTTTCGTTGGCTTGATAAAATCATAACGAAGTGCATCAATAACAATAAAAACGACTTGTTTAAACTCGAGCGGAACTGTTGATGGTATTGTACCAGTAGAATTTTCCAAGATAACACGGCGCGTTAATAGAAATCCATTGAGAAAGAAAGCCAAACCGAGAAGGTAACACGCAAGAAGAGATAAAAATCTGAAATCCATATCTAAAAAAGAAGATAATGTTTGAGATTACATCGGAATGATGTATAATTTCTTTCGAATTCAAGTAGATAATTGATGTCGAAATCGATTGTACCATTCAATTCAAGTACTCGGACGTTGCTTGTCAAGGAAAAGATGAGTAATAGACGATCGAGTTCAACATTTTCAATTTGAAGTGTCAATGAACGAAGCGATTCATTTCCTGATAGATAATCAACATCTTTATCCATAACTTCTCGTTTATCGTCGTTGATATTCGCATTTAGATAACGTAATTTCGGTAACTGACAAATCAGAATAATCAAATCACTTGAAAAACATGGACAATTGATAACAATTCTTCTAACTTGACTTGGACGATATTTTTCTTTGATGAAGAACAAGTTCGTATGGAAATCACATTCAATCGACCGTAGATCTTCTTGATCTTGTAATAAATTTCTGAAAATTTCATACAAATGTTGTTCATTTTGAATATAATTTGTATCAATCGAGATCGATTTCAGTTTGGAAGTATTCAAGACTTGTTTTAATTCGTTCAGTTTAACATCATACAATCGAACTGATTGTAAATTTACGAATACAAGCGATTGCAGAGCGATTCGCAGACGATTCGACTCGTCCGAAATCGATAAATAACGGATATATTGACCAATTTTTGGAAGGATAACATTTTGATAAAGAGAAAACTGCTTCGAACTGAGCTGAAACATATTTGCTTGAAAACAAAGACGTCGATCCGTAATCAAACAATTCAGTCGTTGATTGATATCGAAGAATCCTTGGAAAAGGTCGTAAACGTCCAAATAATCAAATATTTCCAACAGTAACTCATTAGACAAATTGTCAAATGACGAACAATATTTCATCTGAAATTCAATTAAAAAAAACTATATAAACAACAAATTACATCATCACTGAATACGTAAACAAAGCTAGAAGAATATCACATTACTTGAGGAGAGAAGAAATACAAATTTGACATGCACAACAAGAAAAAAGAAAGAAAAAATTTCATAGAAATTCAAGATCGAGCAATTGTAACACGACCGTATCTGAGTATTGAACGAAAATGAATGCATCGTACGATTACTTGTGTCGTTTTGCTTGTTTAGAAACCTGAAATATCGAAGTGTCAGATCTAGTACGAATGAAAGTATTATTCATTACTCGTGAATTAGATTTATCGTTAATTAGTTCAATGATATTTTCATCTTTTGCAAACAGATTCCGATTCAACTGGATAGGATGATTTTTACTTGAATTCTTTGCACAGCGTCGCATTTCAGCAACAATCTTCAACGCGCTTGCTCGATAGACATGGTGAACGTCACGTAAGTGTCGTGGCATATCTAAACGTGAGATAATCGACGAGCATGGTGCTTTCACGATATATTTCGGTTGACAATCGAACAGATTTCTCGAATCTTGATTGAACGGACAAGCAATGTGAAAATTCTTGTTGTATAAAACATCTTGCGAACTGAACAGGACGGTTACGACAGGATCACGTTGCTTCAAAACGGCTTTGCAAACTTTGTACGCACTTCGAGCTGTCATATGATGAAAACTTTGTAGATGATTATAGAGACAACTTGGTTTTCCTTCGCATAATCGAATGTTGTGAATTGGAAGAATGCCAAACAGACCGACACGTGTCAATGGACAAGCTCCACGATAAATCGTCACGGATTGATTCAAATTTGCCGATGAAAATGATCGACGATTCGATGAATTTGCACGATGATCATCATTTTCCTAAATGAATCGAAAATTACGACTCAACTCATCAATGGCTAGTCTTCTTACCGAATCAGCATCGTCAATATCACTGGAATTTATCTCGCTTCGTCCAGCTTCTTCGCCGGATAAACTATAAAACAGAGCAGAAGAAAACTTTCCTATCAATATGAATAATTGTGATTTACTCGTCAGATTTATTGTCTTTGTTTTCCGTCGATAGACTTCCACTCTTCGATACTAAACATATACAAAGAATTTCAATGCAAATTATTGATACATCGGCGCGCTATTTACATGAAATAGGAATAATATGGTTAGAATGAATATTCTCACTATCCATGAATTCGTCTGGTTCAACTTTAATATTCGTTGGTGCATCTGAATTGGCGTAGACACGTTCTCGCTGTTGTTCACGTTCAATAGCTACGTGTAATTTATCTAAATATGCTTGGAGATCTTGTGTAGTCGACGAGGATTCTAAGAGCGATGCTCCTTCTGAGTGTAATTGAAGATGATCACGTCGACGTTGTTTATATGTGCGTTGGATTTCTGTACATGCTATTTCAATATCCCGTTTTTCTTGTTCATCTAGTTTTGTTTCATCGATCAGTCTATTGTAAAGGACGAATCGTTGTTGAACTTGTCGACGCAGTTCTTTCGGTAAATCGTTTTTTTCTTTTTCATACAAACGGTGATGCTCTTGCAAATGTTCAAAACAAATATATCGTTGACAATGTTTCACACATAAAAATGTATCAGTACTGGAACAACTTGTTTCACTACAAACGATCACATCAGATGACATGAGAAACCAAATTCAGAAACGTCTATGGAAATCGGCTCAACAATGTCAAAGATCATCAGTTTGCTTCGTTTTTAATAGATTTTTTCAAATGGAAAATAATCTAACCAATATCGAAGCAGATTAACGAAGGACGTTAGGCAGATGTCGCTTTCGTTCATTGAACTACAATTGACACAAAAATGATAAAAAATAATTTTGAGTATTGTGTTGTACTATGCTCGTTATCTATTTCTTGAATAATCTCAATGTACATAGATGTAAAATAGTATGTGAAATTTAGTCGAGCTTGTTTCTAAACAACGATACCTGTCAGCGTGAATTTATCAATTCTAAAAAGCATTTTCCGTATCACGCGAGACGTAAAAAGTTTTATTGGACATTTCCGCGTTTACATTTCATAAAAGAAAACAGTCGAGTGTTACAAATTCATGGCATTTAGAATATTAAAGAGAAAAAATGAGCTTAACATAAGTCGACTAAAGATAGAGAATCTTTTTTCATGAAAGGAAATGAAATAAGTCAAATTTCCATCGTCATGTAAGATATTTTAATAAAAATTATTGTATGATGCAATCAGAAACGTTTACGCATATCAGTTTTCAATGTGTAAAATAGATTCTTTAGGGTAAGTAGCTTTCAGCGGATAGATGGTAGTCGCTAAAACACACTTTTCAAATGAATCGTTTATTATTTTTTCTTTGACGTTCTGTTTCTATAACTAGACGGATCAATAAATATTCCTGTAGAAGAAACAGAACAGAACGAAGGCCGCATTTTTTCGGTCACACTTTTTTCACTGCTCTTACCTTTACTCATTATGTTTCGTTTAAAAACTGTCTCGTCTTTGCTAGTCTACGGAGCCGCAGCGCTCGTCTTTCTAGTTTTTCTACTTCACTTTTACACTCCATCGTATCATTGGAATGATAATGGATTATCCGAGCATCCAGATATAGATAGTCAGTTTATCACTTTCGAAGTCGCTCGTAAGTATCCAATAGTAACAAAAAAGACGACCTCAACTACGACTGTGACGACGAAAGAGGTGGATAGATCATTAATAGAATGTCGAGATAAAGCGTTGACTATCGACCATTATCGTACACGTTCGGTTGTGCGCGGCGTGATCGTTCGTTTCCCATCGCTGAGAGCGAGATATTACTTCGTACAATTCCGTTGGCTCTATCGTAGTTGGATCGAATCGGAAATGTTTACGCTCGATCGATGGCGCACGGATCTGATCATTCTTATTGATAAAGAGTTCGACAACGAGACCCAACAATTGTTGGAACATCTGAATTGTCGATCGGAAAACGAACGCACATCTCGTCGGCAAATCTCACGATGTATTCTTGTTCAACATCAATTATATTCTGAACGAACACAAAAAGAACGTGAAAACTATCTGAAAATCTCCCCAATGCTCAATCGTGCTGGAGAGCTAAGTGACAACGTTGATCGCCTATTCGCTGTTCATTCTTATATCAGTCGATTGAGAACGAACGAAACTTTGTACGATATTCTTATGGTCACAACGATGAATACGTTCTTGACAACACAATTTGGAAAATACATTCCAGTAAAATGTGCGTTTATTCTTGGTACATCACCGGATTATTCCACATTTTATGGTCAAACTGAACAAGTTTATGAATTCGTTTCGACACTATTGAAAACATTAAAAGATCCAAGAATTGAATCGAAAAGCTCTTCGATTGACTACGCATCAACTATCGAAGCTTTACAAACACGTTTTCTATTCACCGAAAAACAAGTTGACATACCTTGTGATTCCACATTGACAACATATCGTACGTATATTTATCATTTGAAATGTTACGCACATTCGACAAGTTTGTTTTCCGAACGAATGTTTCGTCAAAATGCTTATGATGGTTATGACAAAGAACCATTTAATATTTATGTCGCACGAGAATACGCAACGCTGATGGCTTTACAATCAAAAGTACTGACTTTAGATGCTCTACGTTCATTAGCGGCCAATGTCACACGTCGAGAAGTCTTTACATGAAGAAGTTTTTTTTTATAGAATTAACAACTAAATGTGTGTGTGTGTGTGTGCTTGAATGGAAAAAATGTTATTTTTATAGAAAAAAAAAACGATTTTTTTAATGGCAGATAATTCGAAGATGAAGTTATTACTAAGAGTAGGCATAATCGCATGAAGAAATAATTCGATAGATAAAATATATTTATATCGTTGATCATTGAATATCGAATCAGATCGGATCGTGAGAAAGCATGACACATTCGATGTATCCGATTAGTTGAACTGAGGCGTGCTTTCATTCTTCAAGAGATAAGATATTCTGCCATTTGTTTCCTACTGCTTAAGAAACAGTTCAAATTTCCAGATATTCATTTTCTCATACATAAATCACCATAAAAAAAGGGAGAAAATATAAATATGAACACTACCAACGGGGTCATTGCTAAATCAACTACACTTCTAGATTATTTTCACAGTCAAGATAAAAAAAACAACAAAACATATCCTTTCTTTTCTGCAGAACAAGACAAAATGTCAACAACAATTCATGCTTCTCTTTCACTCTGAATGATGAGACTTATGCAAACAAAATTCTCTCATACATCTATCTTTTCGCATACACATACACAATAACAGCGTTGTATTGACCTGAGGATCATAATAGATGGTTAATTGTGTTGAGAAGAATGAATAAAAAAAAAGCGAGAGATGAACAACGAAAGGGAATTATTCAACTAAAACTCCCATTGTGTTGCTTGTCGACTATTTTGACATATCGCTTGGATACTTCCACTTTGTTCAGCGCGTAAATACATTCCATTTGGTGCTTTAATAACGACGCGAGATGATGACCAACATAATTCTAATGAAAATTTCGATGGTTCACAACCACTGACACTAATATTCAAATCATTTGATATTTCCCAATAGAGACCATCGGAACCTTTCAAATAAACAACTCCTTCGCTATGAGTTTCTTCAGCTGCTTCTTCTAATGTAAATAATGTGAACAGAGCTTTGTTACACTCGAGAACACGTGATTGTTTGTTCCGGTAACCAACATGACCAAAATCGCATTTAAATACACAAAATGGTCGATTGATGAATTTCAGCAGAAAATAAGCATCAGGTAAACTGTTTTGATCGGAAACAGCACGCATATTTCCAGAAGCGTGTGGAACAATAAATTTGCCGTTTGATGCTTGAAATGTGACGTGTCCGTGGCCGACAGATTGTATATGAAAACTTGTCTCTACTGACCTAAATTTGATCAGTCAATTAGAACTCGTCACGAAATTCTTCGTCGTCTTACTTTTTTTCCGCTGTTGCTTGTATACTCAGTCCTCCGATCGTCCAATATTTATTGTCATAGGTTCGAATCTGATAAGCTTGTAAATCATCGTCATATTCTAATTGAAATATACTACTCTGATCACGTTCGTATTGATTCGCCGATAGATCAATTCCTTGTTTGATCGAAACAAGTTTACCATTGGGTGCCACTAAGCATATTTGTAGTTTACTTTCTTCTAAGAGAAATTGCTCATCTTTGCCAGCTGTTCGATTTCTTGTTGTCATGATGCCTAGTGGACCGATAGCTGTGAGATAGCAGCCATCACAATCTTTGAATGTGATGTATCCTTTATGAAGTTCAATCGTGAATAATGTTTCTTCTGTTTGTTCGGTCGATAATTTGCCATCTTTGTGGAAATAGTACCCGTTACTCGAACGAATACAGTAATGATCATTGAGATATTCAACAGCAATGATCGCATCGCTACCCCAGGGAATAATTTCATCGATATGAATCTCATCATCTTCTAACTTAGCGTAACGTTTTCGAAGTACGTGTTTCAGATTAATCTAAACAAAAAAAAGACGAGAATTTCTCTTGAATATGAACAATACAAAGAAATGTTTATACCTGTGGATGGAGAGCTAAATGAGGTGACCACCATTCTGGTGTTTTACTAAAGCAGTGCAATTGATCGTTATCACCGCCTAAGTACATACCATACGTAACAGATTTCAGAGCCCATTGTCCATCTCGATTGTATTCAAGTTGAAAACGACAATCATCATCGATATCGTGCATATCACATTTTAATCGACCATATTTATCAGTTGATAAATAACGATTCAATGGCGATTGGAGATAAACACAATCATTTGGAATATTATAGATAATCGTCCACTTTTGTTTTCGTTTCAACGATGTGCCAGCTAGAAGGTAAGAAATAGACCATTCTTCCAATATTTGTTAGAAAATAATTACTAGCATTGATTTTGCAACCGAACGTTTCGGCAGTTAAATATTTTCCTTTGGAACTGATTAAACCCAATGACCAATAGAGTTTTTCAATCGTTGCATTGTTCGCTGTAGAACAAGTGCTATGGTGACCATTACCATTGACAAGAGAATTCTGTTTGAGAAAAGATCTCTTCACTATTGGCTGTGGATGATGATTGATTGCTGGTGGAATCAGTGATGGAGGTAATTTAATCGTAGGTTTTGGCCTAAATTAGAATCTCGTATGAGTACGTCACATATAATTATTTGAATATAACGAAACCTGAGAGCTGAATGCATATTGTTCAGTCAAATATGTCTTATCATCGAACTATCTATTGAAAATGAGAAACAAAACAAATTCTCTCTCTTTACTTCTCCTGTTCTCTCTTCGCTGACGCGCGCGTATTTTTTCTTCTCATTCTTCTATTCACTCCTCCCTTTTTCGTCAAGACATTGTATGAGTTCATTAATACATATTCTTTTATTCGTTTCTACATACACGTACGTGACCGTTGTATTGTGCTTAGTAATTAACAGACATAATGAAAAAGAAAACGAATCGAATCTTCAAAAGTATAAGATCAGAATTAGTTGATCTTGAAATAAAGATCAATTGCGTCTTTTTCATCAAAGAATGCACATCTACCAATACCTATTGATATAAAACGATCCACTGAAGGTCAGAAAAAAATCAGTGATATTCGTGTTCAAGACGAAGGACAACAGATTGACACTATAACCTTTTGTGTTGCTTTTGTCACATCTTGGTTTATATCTTTCTCAAACAAATAAAGCTTGAATATGTGACCATTACGAAATAACATCTGATGCTTTTCATCGAACAAAATGTATCCAGCTGGCTTATTTAATTATTGATTCACTATGAATGACACTAGGTGAAATTAACAAGTAGAAAGTCATTGAATTACATCATCTTTTAATCTCACAAAGGAATGTCAATTCAAAATCAACGTATGAATCTCGATGTTTCAATTATTGCAACATTTTTAATAAGAATTGCATTACTAAAGAATGAAAACGCTACAATGGACATCTATAGCTGAAATCAACCAATTCGCTCTCACTCGTGACTTATTGTTTACTTTTGTTTCTATTGTATTTAAAATTACGCATAACAATACTTCCGAGGAGAAAAATAAATGCATTGAGTGTTTTAATGAAATTGTATGTACAACGATACTTGAAATATAGGCCAGTAGATAAATAATTGACAGTCAGTTGTCTTGCGGACGATTTCAATATGATGCTATCATTCTCAGATCAGGAGGAATTTGATGGTATGTAGACAGAATTGAATGTTATGTGCGTAACTATGTACGAATCTGTGTTTTTTCAAAGACGAGTTAATGACTGGCCGTTTTGATGAAAAGCTTGATGTAAACGATACTCAATGAGATTTTCCAGTTTGATTACTATTCGATCTCGTTAGGAATTTGTTGCACTAATCACTTCTCGACCACAAACGGCAATGGATGACTCACTACAATCGAACATTAAAGACGTATGATAAACCATAGTTGTTGATTATAAAAGATTTAGGTAATTTACATAGTACAATCCAGCAATTGACGACAAAGAATCATCTACCGAACTATCAAATATAGTACATTGTTTTCAATAGTGATTTCGTTTTGATCGTCTGTTTTTCTATTAAGGATGACTTCTTATATGAATTAGACTCAAATATTCAAGCGGTAGAATTATCGGAAAAGGTATTTTCTAATGTATTGCTTTTTTCTTTTAGGTACGACCTACTACGTCGAAAAGAACGTAATTACCTATGAATTATATCTGACGGAAGACAGTTAACAATTTGTATGTTTATTTTAGAAGAGCTCAACATTTATTCACTCAAGAAGATGAATATCGAGAAAATCAAAAAGGTGGTGGCTTTTTCAATCAGACTAAATTTTGTTCTGCATTAAGAAATGAGATGAAGCACATGTTTAACGTTGATGTCACTATTGAGAAGAGCAATGATGGATCACACCAAGAATACCCTCTTTATATTGTAACATTTCAAAGTATAAATGCGGAAAATGTTTCTAAAGCAAAAAACGCATTGAAATTGCTATTTGACTCGGTCAAAATAGAAATCATAGGCGAAGAAGCAGGTACAAAAAATGAACGCACTGGCATATGAAGGAATGTGAACGTATTTCCATTTAGGATTCTGGATACAGGATCAAGATTACGCTCGTATCGTTCAATTTTACGGTGATCAGAATAAAAGCTTGTTTATCCTGTGTGAATATTCAAAGATTGGCTTGTTTATTCATTATTTCGACGGTCATATATCCGTTGATTTTCATCGCTTATGTACTACTAGGGAAACTCTTCGAACAATACTGAAGAATAAGTTTAAATCCTCCGATGTAAATCTACCAGCGAGTTCCGATCTGACAAAGGAAAATAAAAGCTTTTTTGCACAAGATATTCTGCAACTCGAGGTTGAAGTTCGAACACGTCCGGTATTAATGAAACTTGAGCAGCGATGTATTCATTTATTTGGTATAACTCCAATAGTCGATGAAGTCGTGCAACAAATCGAATGTATCAAAGAGAGATACGCATCCAATATGGTTCGATTGAATTTAGAGTCTATTCAGGTACTTAATGGATTCCACTTATCCTAAGTAGTAGTAGTAGTAGCATTATTTTAGATCAATTATTTAATCGATTTTTATTCTGATGAGCTTCGAATAATGGAGAGAACGTTCGTTAATGCAAAAATCCTTGAGCATTTGAGAAATGGAGAATTCATGGCACCTCAACATATACAAAGTACAATCGAAAGACAAATCAAGGAATTAGCTACATTCTGTCCACCCAGTTCTTTTACCGTTGAGGAAGAAACTTTTCGTCCCATGGCACATAATGAATGTCCGAATCTAATAGACATCGGTCGGCATTATAAATGTCACGTTGAAATCAAAGAATTTCCAACGAAACATATTTGTGAGATTCCTCGATCAACGGCAGAGGATCACGTATCAAATAAATTAACAGCGGCAGCTATCAAAATAGAGCAGGGTGATCTTGCTGATCAGAACGTAAGAGCTTTTATTGCTATATCACTAGTACCAACTTTTCATTAGGTTGATCTTGTTGTGATTTGTTCGACATCGTTATATCTTCGAGATGATATCATCAAAAAAGCTGGTCAATCAGTGAAAGAAGAATATGAACGAATTGCTCAGCACTCGCCTTCCGAACCTTTTGAAACGAATTCGGGAGATTTGCAATGCCGAAAATTATTATTCCTTCCATGGCATATCGATCAATCTACTAAACACAAATTCACTCAATCGATCCGAAATTTCGTGAGAAGATCCGTTCAATATGCTCTCAGGGCGCATCACACATCAATTGCTTTCCCATCAATTGGATGTGGTAAACTAAATATTGGAAAAGATATTATAGCCAATGAAATGTTAGTCGAGGCGCAGAACCAATTATTAACAGCTAATGCCCTGTTACAGCTTATTTTTGTGATTCTACCACAACAAACGGATGTTGTCAAAGCTTTCGAGGTAAAACTTGCCAGTTTGCAAGAAGGCAACGTCGAAACTAAAGATGCAGAAATCTCCTATCACTTGTCGAGTAATACTACATTACAGTTCATCAATAATCGTCAAGATTTCGTTGTTTTGTAGCGCTAACATTGACCATTCACTCATCTAATGAGAATAATCAAAGAGAATGTATAGAAGCATTACACAATCATATTACCAACTCTACTGGAACCTACGAAGCCTATCAACAAACAGCTCTGAAAAAATGGACTCAGCCAGCGTTAAATAAATTCTTTCATTTTTGTCAGAAAAGCCATGTCGTGATTGACGTGGATATGAAAATTGGTTATTTGAGATTATACGGGTCAAAAGAAGCAGTCCGAGAAGCAGAAAGTGAATATCTTCGACAACAAGTTAAACAGAGCGAACAAGCTCGATTGGCTGTTATTGCACGAGATATCATATGGGCGTATAAAATCGGAGAAAATCAATGGGAAAAATACTCATCTGAAATCAATACTTTGATCGAAGATCAGTATACATCGAAACTGCAATCGGTGAGTAAAAAATAAAGATTGAGCAGCGGATCATAAACTATGACATCATCAGTTTAATTATACAGACGACAAATCGAAAGAATATCTTATCGATTTTCAAATGATGACTGAAAAATGCTTGAGTACTAATCAAGAACGTCCAATCGTTCGTCAAACTGACTTCACATTTCCTAAAGATTGGCACGTTCAAATTCACAATATTCAACAATTTTCCTTGTCAACGAATTCCGATGAATTCAAAAGTCTTCTACGTTTATTCAATAAAACTATGACTAAGAAATATACGGAGATCGTTCGGATCGATCGAATTCAAAACAAACAGTGGTATATGCAGTACAATTCCTATCGAAGTTTTTCATCGAAGAAACATACAGAGAGAAAATTATTTCATGGCTGCCCTCGACAAACAACCTCCCTGATTATTAACTCATTTTTCAATCGATCTTTCGCGGGCATTAATGGTTTGTCGAATTCGCATTTAATTTTGAAAAAAATCGTTGCATTTTAGGTGTTGTCTATGGGCAAGGTGCTTATTTCTCGGCTAAGGCTAACTATAGCCATAATTATGCGACTATAACCGATTCGACTGGTGAACGATATATGTTTGTCGCAGATGTTTTAGTTGGTGATACCATTACAGGAAATTCAAAGATGAAAACACCACCTGCTGGTTACGATTCCACAACAGATGGTGATCATATTTTTGTTACATATCGTGATGATCAAGCATATGCTTCGTATTTAATTGTTTACAAATGAACATTATTCGAACTGGTCGTTAGTTTTTTGTCTGTTTTATTGAATTTCCTTGAACAACAAGGAATAACAAAGGGATATTGAAAAACAACAAAACTTAACTAAAAGTCATCCGTATCATCACTGGTTTTCTTGACTTTTTTCTTCCGATTTTGTCTGGCGTGTTCAATTGCTTTCATACGTTTCTTCTTTCCTAAACCCAATCGTTTCGTTTGTTTAGCACGTTTCTTTCGATAAACAACTTCCGGTTGATTTACAGCTAAGACAGCTAGTTTCTGTTTACGTTCCAGGCGTTTCGCTCGTCGTTTTTTCGCCACATCAGCGTAGATGCTGGTAATTAGGTGAATATCATAATGACGTTTGAATACATCGAAAACATCCTGTGCGAGAGTTTTCAGTGATAGATTCGCTGCTGTTTCATCACGTTCGATTTCGCGTTCGAGAACAGTGAGAAATGATTTGAGGTGTGGAGTTAGCGGTGCTGATAAATCAAGAACAATTGCCGCTATCCATTTGAAAATTGACGAACGACGAGTTGTTTCGTTGGGATATTTTGTTGATTCGAATGTGGTTAAACGACAGCAACGTCGAAGTACTAAATCGAAATGTTCCGAATTCGATAGGATGAGAAGTTTTGACAAATAGATCAAGTTTTTGATCACTTGTAAACAAAATTCTTCGGTTAGATTCGATGGTTTCAGTTGAGAACAACATGCCAAACATAAACGTTGAATTTTAATCAATGGTGAACTCATTGAATCAAATATTGTCACATAATGAACGAACAATGGTTCATGGTCAAGATTTATTTGTGTAGATTTCTTTAAACGTTTGCGACTTGGACCATCTTCTGGTGCTGCAGATGGTATTGCACTAAATATTAGAATAATATATTCATTTGTCTCGCTTTCTTTCATGGAAATTCTACCTGATCTTGTCTAAACGTTGTACAACATCTTCGGGTTTGTTTATTTCAAAGATTTGATTGAAAAATTGTGCTGATAACAGTCGGATCCATATGTGTGGATGCAATAAACATTTTTCATCAATTAATTTCATCAAATCCAGCCACTTTGATCTCAATTGGATCATTTGCAACGAGTTTGGACAGAATTTCACCACCGAAATCAGAACATTGATTAAATGATAGATGTATTGATCGAAAAACTTCTCTTCATCATCATTTCCATCGAATTTGATTGCATGAAATTCTCTTTGAATGAATTCGAATACTTCAATTAAATATTGGTCAAATCGTTCTTGTACAATTTCAATAAATAAAAGAAATAGTTGTAATGCCAAACACCGATGTTCAATCTTGTCATTTATCCAACTAAAAACGATATTTTTCAAAATATCGTTTCGATGTTCTTCGTCGATTTTTTCTAACAACAACTTTAGATTCATTTGAAAATACTTCTTACATTCATTATTTGTTTCATTATAATAATGACAAGCTAATGGAAGAAAGAAATATGCGGCATAATCATTGAGACGTTGTTTAGTCAAATCATTGAATAAAGTATTAAGAAACATCAAGACAGACAATCGACCATTGGAATCTTCGTAATCCAGTTGTAGAAGGAAGAAATCTAAATAAGATTTTAACTTCGCCTTTGTATGCTCGTATGAGAAGAAGTAGATGTGGAAGAGATCGCGACAGGTTGTTCGAACATGATCATACGGTGATTGAACGATCAAGAATATCAAACGAGATCGAAGAAGATTATCTAATAGCGTTCGAAGATTTTTATCATTGGAGATGACAGACACTGAATGGATCATTATGGAACGAAGGAGAAGAAATGCACTTGATTGACGATGAATGTTCAATAGATCCGATTCAACATAAGTAAATAAACATTGGTACTCCTCTGATGTCAATGACACTTTATCGATAATCAAACGTTGAACAAATATACCGAGAATTTTATATGAAAGTGTTAATAAATCATTCATGTCCGTTGAACCAGCGACAGACGAATACATTTTGAGTAAATCAAATACCTAAACAATGAAATATACCATTAATCATTACGAATATCGATGAATTCAACGAACGTCTGCTTACCTTTTTATATAAACTTGTTATTCGTTGTTGATTCAATGATGGCAGAGAATATTCTAATAGAGACGAGAGATTTCGTAGAGTCGCGGTGACTACATCTGTGTACGACGAATTTAAACATGTTTCAATATGAAGCACAAAAGGATCAATCATTGATAAGAATGTTTGATCGTCCGTTTTGAATTTTTTGATTAATTTATGAAGCAAATTCAATGTCCACGCTGTTAAACAATGCAAATTTGTTTTCTTCAAGTGTTTTATTGCTTGAGCAACTCGCGCATGGCCGCGCTTGGGTTCCGCTGGAACCAAATGATATTTTTCTCTTTCCTGAATAGCTGCGCGCAAAGCTGGATTATTCGACGTCGTTATTTTTTGTTCATCCATTGAATTTTCTTCAGTTTTCGTCAATAGATGATAAACAAATACGAACAGACTCTCCGTCGTTAGATGCGTATTGATAATCAACCCAGTTTGAAAACGTTGCAAACATTTCTCACACTTCGATATCTCTCTGGAATCATGATTCGATGCTAACTGTTGACGTAAAGGTTCCATACATGTTAAAAGTTCGTCCTTGGAATGAATTAAACGTCCAAGTAATTCCATCACGTTGACCGTTTTATTTGTTTTAGCTTCGGGAATGTTCGATGGTTTGTACGACGAATTTTCGTGCTCACTGGCTTTCGATGATTCGGTTTTCTCTTCATTGAAAAAGTCGTCAATGTATAAGTTCGTAATAATCTTCACCGTTGAATCGATATTGAATTCAGCACTTAACGAGGATATATGAATGAGAATCGTATGAATTGTATGTAGAAGAACGAAACGTTGGTAACCACGTTGCAAACCAGCAATTAGCTCTTCGAGAATAAATTTCAAATAACGTTTGCCGAGTATGGTTACACATTTACAAAGACAATCCCGTGCTTGATCACGAATAGAATATAAACGTGAACGAAGTAAGGTTATTAAATGAAGAAGAATTGTAGAAATGTGTTGTTCGATGAAATCCGAAGGAAAGATGACGATTAGTTTCATTGCAATTAAGGAACACGTAATTGTTATGAGAACAGCTTGTTGACGTTGATCATCAACAGTGGCATTCTTCGTTGCCATGCCTGTTGTGGTTAAACCATCAATTGAGAACGAATTTTGACTTAGGAGACCAAGAATCATTGGTAATAAACGTTGTTGAATCGTTTTACTGATACGTTCACCTAGGAGAACAAAGGAAATTTAGAAAAAAAAACATCCAGGCTGAACGGGATTCGCTTTACTTTCAGATTTGTTTTCATTCGAATCCAGTTGAAAATGAAATGCATCGATGATTGCCGAAACTGTTTTGGTTATACAACGTTTCTGCACTAAACTTAGCGATCGTTTATTATTTGTCAATTGTCGAAAATATGAGACAAACAATTGATTATATTTCATCCATGGTAACATTTGACAGAATGTTGCTAAACATTGAAAAACGACATCATCATTTGTTATATCATGACCATCCTCGGCGAGACTATCGTTGATAAACGAACACACAATTGGTAGCAAATAACTGGTGATCGTTGTGACGCGAAACGAATTTTCGTCTTGGGTAGATTTCAAACGTTTTAGTGCTCGTAATCGTCGATGGTTTTGAACATGAGTTATATTGTGAAAGAAGTCCAATTCAACATCCGTATGATTACGTAAACGTTTCAAATCGTTTAAATCTTCATTTTCAGTATTGAGATCAACGATGAAGGCAAGATGGCGAAGAAATTCATGACGAATACTTGAGGATATAGCTGGTTGCTTGAGAATCGCACGAATTTCTGTAAGAAAACACGTTCGATACAATGAAACTCGTTGAAGAAATAACTGAATACATTGAGATGCATATTCACGAAGAGAAAGATCATTGATGGAATGATGTAATTCATATAAGCAATGGTAAAATAAACATGAATATTCATGTTGCTCTTTTTCAGCATCTTGTAGATTCAATAAGTTTTGCGTTAACTCTTTATAACTATTCAACCGACGTTCGTAGTCGGGTTCATCAATTTGTTCGCTATTCCATGAGTTCAGTTCGACTAGTTGTTTCAGATACCAGATGGCGCTAAAGGGAACAAAAGAAATGAATGATAGGTATGATGTATTGATTGATTTACTTGATTTCGGACTTTGATGAATGATTGGCGAGGATTTGAAAGAGTTGAATTAGTTCAATTCGTTGATCACGTCGAATTATTTTACAACAGAGAATTGCTAATGAAGGAAGATATTTTTCGATTGAGTTTTCAACGTTTGGTACTAGATTTTGTAAAACCTTCAATATCGAAATATTTAGATCTTGTGCGGATGTTTTAGTATCTAGTTTCTTTTTCTTCTTCTTGGAAAGAATGTTCTGACGAAGTAATCGAACGAAGATCGAACACAATTGTTCAATTTTCTCGGTTTTTAATTGTTTATTACTAAGAATAAGAAGAATATCGAATTCTTTTGAAGATAATGTTATTGCATTGTTTGATTCCATCATAGAATTCGATATTCGAGTTAAATATGTCAGTAAGTGATCGAAATAAGGAACGATCAATGCATCATTCGCTAAAAAGACAAGACAACATAGAAACATGTGCAAATTTCATCAAAATACGAAAACATACGATCAATTTGCAAAATATTCCAAATAAATTCAATGATCAATTGTTTATTTTCATGAGAGATATTCTCATTCAATAACTTCATCGAACATTTCATTAAATCTTTAGCATCCTGTCGATCGTCGATGATTGCTTGACGTAAATACGGTGTACTACTCCAAATGACGACCAGTTTTAACATATGAACAATATCTTCGCGTTGTTTGGTTTTGTTTAACAGATTATCGAGATAATTTTCTCGTATACAACACAGCCATACGGCATCGATAAGATCGCTCGTGAAGATTTCACTTTCATCACCGTCGAAAAGCTGAAAGAGGGTTTGTAAACCTTTGTAGGCCATCGATCGAAGACGTTTTAATGAAATTCGAAGTTTTTTTGTTTGATTATCGTCTACATGTTTCAGATTGGTTAAATAATCAACGAATTTTATCGTTAAGAGATAAAATTTCATAATGTAATGCATTTGTTTTTGAAGATAAACACCTAGTTTAGAAACGAATGTTTTCAATAAAGACAAAGAATGTTGAATATATTTGATGAATGTTTCGTAGGAAGTTAAATGAACTTGTTCAGATTTTAAAGCAATCTTCTTGTCGAAAATGGTCAACCATTGATCTTCTTCCGATGAAAACAATTCGTCTGCAAATGGTTCCGATAGTAATTGAATAAAGTATCGAAAATGATGTTCGTAGAGATTATTCGAAGCGAATGTGATAAGGAATTGAAATAAATATTTACGATTCAATTCAAAATAATCTTTTCGGCCACGCGTTGTTGAACCTAAGAAAATTCAAGACATATAAGAGAAAACAAATCATCGAATCGAGTACAAATTTCCATCGCTCATGATCTATTCTATGTCTAGTTGAACTGTACCGATGCATTCCAGGGCGAAGATTTTAACTTACCTAATGATCGTTTGGTGTTTAATTTACTGTAAATAATCCTTATCAGTATGAATGCATATTGATTTTTTAAATTATCGGAAAGATTATGTTCCAGTAGGACGCCTTGGATCAATTCGTGAAATGTTTTTCGGCATGTGCTCGGAGTGAACAACGGTTGAATGTCTTGTGAATGTTTGAGAAAATCGGATTGGATAATTGATTCGGGTATTTGATGGCATGTTAGCAAACACTCGTAAGCTAATTTTTGAATTGAATTATCGGTTGAAAGAAGTAGACGAGTGTAGAATTGATAAAGCCGATGAGGTTCAAACCATTGTTTGTGATGATGAAATTGTTTGAGAAGATTCAAGATCGTCTCTAAAGTTTTCAATGAAAACTTTCGTGACAATCGTTTCGATGCACTTGTTTGAATGATGTATGAAGATTTCGATTGACCGAAGAGACCCAATGCCAATAAATGGTCATGATACTCGTTGGTAAAGAAATCAAAAATGATCGGAACAAGAACTTTAGTCTTTTGTTCACATTCGTTGGGAAAGTGGGTCAATGTTTGAAATAAATTTATACGATATTGAATGTAATCGATGCTTTGGTCATTGACTTCATATTCTCGTTTCTCTTCATTTTCGACAAATTCTTTAACTAAGTCATCAGTGATGATTTCTTTCGCGGAAATTTGATCACGTTGACTGACTAACTGAAACTTGTCATTCAATATCGACCAAAAGTATGCATGGCCTATGTATTCAATTGCTTTGTTACCGTAAGAGCCAAGTAATTCAGTACAAATCGACCATAACGGTGTAAAATTTGCCGAAAGTAAACCGAGTAGATAATACATTGCTAAATGAAACGATGAGGATTTGTTATTGATTAAGACAAATTCGACCGAGAGTTTCTGTAGATGGATAATCTTCGAACGATATTCATAAACATTCATTGGACATTCTTCACATGAAAGACAATGAAATATCACATGAGTCGGATCGGAAATTAATGAATCGAGAATTCGAAGTGATAGTAAACGAATTTTTGCATTGAATGATGATAAATTTGTTTTCAATAATTCAATAAACTTGTCTGTCATAGCTTTTGACGGCGGATTCAATAGAAATGCCAAACGTGTACACAGCAAATAGAGTTCTGATTGGACTTGACGTTGAAGTATTTCATACCAAAACTCGATCGAAAATGACTGAGAGTGCTGAAATATTATTTCCATTAACGTTACTGCTACTGTCGCTGATGTTGATAAAGATGCATGGTTTATCAATTGTGAAGAGAACAGTTCGACGTGTGTCTTAGTGAAATCGATTCCATTGGTGTCTTTGTCGGACAGAGAATGAAGAAGAATAAGAGCACGCCAAAGTTGACCTGTTAGCTAAAGAAAAGGAAGATTTAGTTCGATGATTGTAATGAAAAGTCAGAATGGTAATAGATCTTACCAAAATCTGTTCATCATTGATCTTTATCAAAGTTTCGCAGATAAATTTTCGGATGAATTCCAATCCATCTTCACCAATTTTGTCTTTGCCCAGAAACTTCTTTTTTGTCTTCAATAGATTTACTTTTTCCAAAACAGTTTGATCATTATCATGCGGCAAAATTATCATTTCTGTTTTTTTTCTTCCGAAAATCAAATAATCAATCAGACAATTGATCGTTTCTTCTCGACTATGATCCTTGCCTTTCAATAGATGATTCCACAGTCGTAGGTAAAATTCATTGGGTAATTTATCAGTTAAATCACTTTGAAAAATCTTCCGCGTTTGCTCATACAAAAACATCGATGACGTTTGTGTATGAAAACGATAGTAAACATCGATTAACTCTTTCGTGATCGGAAATATATTCATTACCTTTCGAACAGTTTCATAATGTAATCTTAACAGTTCTTTGTTCTCGTTTGATTTTATCATTGTCAGAAATTCCCAGGACAAATCTGTATCAATCAGCATTCGATGATCGATAAATAATTGAAAGATTTCATAAAATATTTGATAAATAAGGATCGAAACGGTTTGTTCCTTCTGATGATCGATTGTTCGATAAACATTCATCATAGAAGTCCAGAGAACATCGACATGTTGTTTTGATGTATGTTGAAGTAATAATGAATAGATTGTCTTTATACACGATTGAACAATTTGTGGCCTTTGGAGAAATTTCTTCCAGATACACGTTAATAAGGTTTTTGTGCATGAATGAAACGTTGATTGAACGTTTTGACATGTCTCGCTGAATACTAATGACAAACTTTCTAATTCATTTTCATCACGGTCGTTTTGATCGAACAGATAATCGATAAATGATTGATAATTCTCGATTTTACGTAGAAGATATGCAAATGATTCAGCTGCAAATGAACGGATGTATTCATAATTAGTTGTCAAAGAGTTCGACGATGAAAATAAATACTTGGAATACAGTTCATATAGATTTGCTAAATCTTTCAACATAATACGCCAGAGATGTTTGAATAGATATGTTAAACATTGAAAAACTTGTTCTAAGAGTTGTGTATTCATTTCGCTCTGTTGACTTTGATTATTGATCAGCAAATTCACAATATCAACGAATAGATATTGTTTGTAGTAAATGTAAAAGTCACTCTGTAAGTCACGTGCTAGTTGAACGATTAAATCTAACAATGTTTCGATAATCAATGGATTGCGTTCAATCAATGCTTGGCGGAGTAAAGAAAGGATTTGTTCACGATTGTAAACGACTTGTTCAAGTGAACCTGCCAATGGACGAAGTTTTTGATGCAATTGAGAGTAAATTTCACTGAAATTGAGCATAGACCAATGTTCAAGTGATTGCTGGAAATGGCTCGTACGAGCGAGATCTTCATTATCTGCAAGATTTGCTGTATCATGATAACGAATGCGATGAACAACGTTGATATTTATGTTATTCAAACGTTCATGAAGCGATTGATATCGAAATGGACGATGTTCTTTATCATTTTCTTTGGAGTTCTTCGATTTTTTTGCCATCTAGAAGAAAAATGAAAAAAGAATACTTGAGAAATTATCCGTTTTAATCTGTGCACTTTTGGTTAGATTGGAGAGGTCATTTTGGAACCAGAGAAGATATTTCATGGATGACCAATCATCAGATACAAAAAAACTAGCGACATCTGTTTCTTGCACAAAGGATCCTAAAGTTTTCTATTAATCTGATTCAACAGTTCACCGACTGGTAAGTATTCATTCATCTTCAGGGTGCGGGTTGAATATCTTGCTGAATAACTTGAAGATCATTTTCATCCTTAAAACAAAGCATGATTTATAGCGAAATATCTCCTCACATATCTGTCTCAGCATAAATCGTAACTGTTTTTAAAAGCATCCATGTTTCTATGCGCTTTTCATCTATAATCTACCAAACTCGACTCGAAATTTGATTGAATTCGTGTCAAAGCAGTAAATATTTTCCTTTGAGATAATTACATTATTCAAGAAATTGGAAATCATACGACGAGTATCATCTGTCCAACACAAGTCTACGATTAGTTAGAAGATACATCGCAGATGTCGATCACATATCTCTTAGCAGTCACTCACAAGCATCGGTTGTTAATCATATGATGCACATGATTACGTTTCAAGGCTTTACTAAATCGACAGTTGTCATAACACATCTAATAATAACAGATTATTTTAATTAGTTCAAGAACATATTATGTGTCACATAAGTGAGATATTTAATTATTAGCATACGATCTCGAACGAAGTCAAACTTCTCGACCGGAAATGATTGATTGTAAGAAAATCCTCTATTGCGAAAAGTGACTATAAATAGTATAAAAAAAACTTTGTCTCAATGTACTTTAATCGAAAAGAGTCAATAAAGCGAAATAACACAAATTCATTGCCAAGACGTATTCTACGGAAGGTTTGTTGTTTTTTTAATACCCAATGTTGATGATGATGAGCGCACTTGTTCGAGAGCATCTTGCAGATTCTGCGCAATACCAGTAACGGCATTTCGTGATGAAGGTTTTGGACAATGTGCTAATATGGAACGGCATAATCGATCGATTGACGTAAATTTTTCCACCATTTTGTCAGCATTCTCTCGGGTTAACTCTTGTCGGACTTCTGTTGCGACTTCAGTTTTCTTCGTGAGAACGTCTAACAACGATTCGACTATTTGTGTGTAAGTATTCGCTAAATCTTTCTTCGCTGTTTCATCTTGCGAGCGTATCGATTGAGCAACACCTGAAATTATTCTCAAATAAACAAAATTTCTCTTTCAATTCCTCTACTTACTATTAATAATTCGTACCTAAACGAACGTTTGAATAGAACGACACTCTTTCGAAATAATGCATCAAATGTTCAACTTACGATACGCCATAAACGAAGCGATATAAACAGCAGGGAAATTTCTGCCAGTGTATTTTGTCCTTCAGCAAAATAGACGTCGACAACGAATGAAACTATGACAATAATTGAGTCTACCCATTCCATTTTTTTCTCCCGAAAATTCCACCATTTCCTTCCGAATGCATAAATCTTCGTAAGAACTTCTAAAACGAATACAGCTAATAGAAAAATGGACCCAAAATGCAGAATTTCGATGGCTAATTCTAATCCGGGACACTCTTTCTTCTCGGATTCAGATTTGCCTCCATGACGCGAGCATTTGTTATTTAAAAAAAGAAAGTCAAGCATTAATTCTGCAATAACCAAGACACAATCAAGAAGAACAAGTATAATAATTCCTACATGAAAGCTCGTTTTTTCGACAACATGCATAATTTTACGTTGGTGTTGAAACTTAACATTCCACCATTGATTGAAACACGGACAACATCTATCATGGCAGCAATCGTTACTCTCCGGTTCGTTTACTTCTTGTTCGAATTCTTCGACTGTTGTTAAAGTTGATTGAGAAATCGGATTAGCACTTAGATTCACCGTAGCCATTGACTTTTTTTTGGTTCTCTTTGGAGAAAAAGTGAGGTTTATTCAATCTTGTCGTATCACACACACGAAATGTCTTATCAGTTGCAAAGAAAAGGAACGAAAACGATAACACACATTTTTTTTCGAACGTGTTGATAAAGACGCAACTATTTATATAAAGAATTGATTGTATTAACCTAATTCAATTCTCAATCATCATTGTTTGGTATTTGGATTCTCCGTGGAATAAATCATAAAATTCAATATTTATGATAATTCATAATGAAATTAGTCTGCGAAACAAATGAAAAAAATCAGAGAGGAAAATTCACTTAACAATATGCGCAATTATTCAAATCAAGATTTTCGGCACATTATTTTTTTCATACACATTTGAATTCCATCGGCAGTGATTCTTTTTCTTCGTTTACGAACAAAGGAGCTAGATTAAATCAACGGAAAATACTTGACTTATTTCACTTCCTTCTTATAAGAGTATTATTACTTTTTCTCGATTAGGAAATGAATGAAAGAGAAGTATAGATCTAATTTGATATTTCATCTTCTATTTACTTTTCATATCGATTTCCCTTGATGCTGAAATTTAAGACAGAATCTACCCGGAACTTATCCATTGACTAAGCAAACGTTGGAAAAACTTTCTATATATAACACACTATGATTTCCGTCGGAAGTTTCCATCTTGACATGGCATTCTCTCTAATCAAACAATTAATAAGTAGTCGAGAGATTCTTTGTTCTCTCCCATTTTTTTATTTTTGCCGTACTAACATCTTTTCTGTTGGTACAGATTGGTCAAATACACATCTAGTACACAAAAAAAGAATGAAACAATCGATTGGCATCTTCTGTAGAAAGTAGATTTGTTTGAGAAAGAACAAGCGCGCAAAGAAATCTAATGAACACACATATCCACTCTTTCACATGAGATTTTTGATTAAAAAAATACACACGTACGCATACAGAGAGAAGAAAAACAAACAGATGGAAGCATAGATCAATTTCGAAAGTGTATGTATAAGTTTTCTTCCAATTTCCTTTTGTTTTTATGAAAACACTGATGAGAAAATTTGTTTTATTTTGGCAAAAAAAAGAAAACAAAGATTTTTATATAGAAATAAATAGAGATAAGAGAACAAAATTTCTATGTAGTAGACTGAAATTATAGAGAAAAGAAAAACAACACAAAGAACAGAAAAACAAAGGATTTTCTTAGTTAGTTTTAAAATAATCATTTTGCCTTGGTGCCAGATCGAGTTTACTTATCGGCTACAATTGAAAAACGACTAGACCACATGATTTAAATATGTATATATGACTATTTTTGGTGAACAGAGAAGGAATCATAACTATCATCTATCGTTGACTTTGTGTGCTGATGAACGTCGAAAGTTGGATGAAGACGAACGTGAACGATTTTTACGATCATTGCCTGCAGAATTCTGACGACTTTGCGTTTGAGCGCTAGCTTTTAAACGACCGATTTTGATGTTCACACGGCCATGTGGAAGTGTCTAAACAAGATAAAGACGAAGATTGGTGATTAACATCGAAACGAGTTCATTCGAGTTGTTATATTACCTTCAATGTGTAAGCAACGTGTTCGTAAGCTGCTGCGCGTAGATCTTGTCCATTGACCTCTAAGATTAAATCACCAGACATCAATCGACCATCTTTTTCTGCACAACCGCCTTCCAACTATATTAAAAATGTCTTAACACGTTTGTCGAAGATGTCAATGACTACTTACAATATGAGAAATGAATACACCAAAGCCATGCCGTCGTCCAATGATGCTAAAGCCTAGAAATAATCTGATTAGATAATTCTTTTCTAATCAAACGAAGACTTGCCAAGTCCTTTGCCTGATTTCTTAACCAATTCAACATTGATAACATCAAATTTATCTTGTTCATTCATCATTTCGGTTAGCATTTTTCCTCGTAGGACTAATATAGTAACTACATTCGTCGCTTGTCGTAATGCTTGAATCGCTTCTTCGTGGGTGGCAAAGCGCAAATCAATTGAATTAACTTCGAGAATTTGATCACCAACAAGTAAACGCCCATCCCGTTGTGCAGCACAACCATCATAGATATCATGAATGATAATTCCAGACTAGAATAGATGAACTGTAGGACCTATATATGATTTCAAAGCGTGACTTTTACTAGTTGAGTATCGGATCCACCAACTACGGAAAGTCCGAGACCGGATTGGCCGCGATCGATTTCAATCAGTGTTTCTTGTCCAACAAGTATTGATCGTGTACGAGGATCGTCTTCTTTGTTGCTTTCAGAATCGTCTGAAGCAGAAGTAGAAGTTAATAGTGTCTTCTTATTTCTTAATAAACTTACTTGAAGTTAACAATGGTAAACTTTCCATTTGATTGATATTAACGACAACCGGTTGTGGTTGTGGTTCCCGATATGGGATACATGTTAGGTGTATTTGATTACTATTGGCACGTTCTAACATACTTTGTATATCAGTAAATTTCAAGGAGTCAACTGGAATTCCATTGATTTGTATTAAGTGGTCACCAGCACGGATATCGTGCTAAAAGCGAGAAGATTTTCACTTAATTTGCGTTCGAAGAAATCCTTACTTGATCGGCTGGTCCATGTGGTTGAACACTTTGCACCCAAATTTCGTTATCATGTTGTGCAACAGTTAAGCCAAACGAATCTCTGTGATCCTTTAAATTTATGAAGAAAAACATCGAGTAAACAAGCAGAAACAAAACGTTTCGCCTACTTTATTTAGTATGAGAGTGATCGGGGCACCAGGTGTCGACATAGAAATACGTCGCACCACTTGTGTTGAGGATAATGGTACTTGTTTTCGAGTTATATGCTCAGTTGATGAAGGCGTGGAAACTGAAAGTGACGACGAGGAACTTGAAGACGATGATGTATTAGAAATGCGTGTTGTCAGAGCACCATTCATAGTTGTTGTTCGAGAAGTTGTCGGGAGGTTGGGGAAATTATCTTGCATTTTCTCTTTGCTAGGTGATGATATACTGACGTCTGAAGGCAAGTTATTACTTGTCTGTTTTGTTGGTTGACTTGACTGGATGATTGCAGTCGAATGTGTAGGTGAGGTTTTATCTAAAGGAAACAAACATCGTTAAGTAACTTTTTCCTTTTGTATGTCAATAACAATAGCAAACCTTTGTTGAGTTCAATTGGATTACGATGAGGAGAACTTGATATTTGAAGTGGATTTTCTAAATATTTATCATTTGCATGATTTGCTTGTTCATGCATTAATGAGCTTGATGAAATTGAAGTTACTGATGAGGGGAGTGTTGGTAAAGATTGATCATTTCCATATACGCCCGATTGTTGATCGACGGCTGACGGAATGAAACGGCGAGTAGAAGAACTACCATCGGAAGAAACAGAATTCATGTCTGTGATCGTCGTCTGACTACAAATATTATGATTTAATAATGAAACTTCGTTGTTGTTCGTTTGAACGTCAGTTGTTGTTCTTATTCGATTAGGCGACGATGATGATGTTGGTGATACTTGCAGTTTTTCAGGCTCCGAAGTTCTTTCATCCTTTGCGATTGACGTTATTTGGGAAATTGAACATCTTTTCTCATGCGTCTTATTTTCAATATCGTATCTCTCATCACATTGATGCGAAGAAGGCGGGAAAATCGATGTCGTTGTTAGTCTATCGTCATTTTTCTTCTGTTCATTGACATCCGGTTGATGCCTTGGGACATGAGTACGCTGATGATGATGACTAGCATCGTTTGTCATCTGTTGTTCTATCGGATGTGGAACTGATGATAATGGTTGACTTCGTACTAATTTGTTAGAAGCCGCTATGTGATGCACATCAGAAGACGCCATGGCCGATGCCTTAATAATATAGTGATGAAAAAATATATAAATCAAACGAGTTATTAACCAATAAAATATTGTACATACCCGAAGACGTGCCGCGGCGGCATGTTGGCTATTTAAGGCCATATCATCGATTGCATTTGGATTTCTGTGATGATGAAAAACGAAAGAAGAGAAACTTATTCTTTGTTTCAAAGAAGTGTCGGTTTCCTATACCGAAGCAAGACGAAGTTCAATGTATCTGCTTTAATTGATTTAATAATTGGAGTCACTGCTGAGTGTGCTTTACCCAAAAGGATTTCTCCATTAACCTGAAAATAACAAATGACTTTCTTATTTTGTTTCTCGTATGAGCATGTCAAAAAGTAACGTATCTTGATTTTTCTCGGACGATGAAAATAAATTACAAAAGAAGAGAAAAAGAGAAAAGAAATATCTGGATGTATGAATAGGAAAGAAAACTCGGTCACGCAATTATTTCGATAGATTACGGCAATATATATAGTACTTTGTCTTTCTTCAGCTGTAAATGCTCAAACGAGAAAAATGGAATTCCTATTTTTTCCTCTATTCTTTCTCATTATTTCTTCTTCTTCTGTTTTTCGGTAAAAAAACATCACGCATATAGTCAAAGGAAACTGACACAAAGCGAGTTTTCCCGGTTTTTCCTCTTCTTCGCCTTCTAAACAAGATTATAGTCACGCACTAGAGCTTTAAATTAGAAAGCGGAAACACTTCTTCATTTTTTCAAAAGAAAATATTTCGGCTTTTACTTCGAGTAATTGATCGCCAGGATGTATACGGGAGTCACGATCGAGTAATGAGCCTGGTTGAATGTCACAAACAAATACGGCAAGTTTAGTCGGATCACGATGACCGATAAGAGAAAGTCCCAGAGGTTCGTTGATTTCGGCAATTGTTCGTTTGATATCAATGTAGTAAAGATCACCATTCAAATGTCCGTACTGTTTGATCAGTTCTTCTTCGGTTTTGCGTTCATTTGTATTCGAAACTTTATTAATGGGGATAATTCGACTTTGCGACGGAGAATTCATTGGAATGTGAGAAAAATTCGTTGATGAAAGATCAGCATTCGACGTCGACGTGGGATTCGAAGGATCAAGCAAACTTTGAACGATAAAGTTCACAGGTGATTGTGCTGCACGAATGATTTCTACAGCACGATCGTGTGATGCATCACGAAGATTATGTCCGTTGACTTCTAAGATTAAGTCACCTGTCTTCAATGTACCATTTCGACCCGCTGGCGAGTCTGGTAGAACATGTTTTATAAATATTCCTGATATACACGATTCAATAGTATTTCCAGGTCCAGAGAAATCAAGTTTTCCACCGACGATACTGATTCCCAAGCTTTTAACATGTTCATTTCGATAGAGAATAACAGTTCGTGGAGGTCCCCATAGCGCTGCACTCAATGCTTCACTATCGATCACATTTGAATAGGATTGTTGCTGATTTTGTGCATCGAACCCGTACGAACACTCTGCTTCTTCGTTAGGTGTTGTGACCGATCTCGCTACGCAATGTTCTATATCCGAATCAGTTATTCTAAAAATAAACACAAAAGAAATGTCTATATAATTAGCCGTTTCTTTTTTTTTGTTATTTTTGTTCTCGTACTCGGGCGGTATCGGCGATGACGTTGTTTGTGGATCGAGTGTGTGATCTTTAAATTGTTTAGCATCATCGCCCGGAATGAAAATGACACTAGAATCACAATTGCTTGAAGATAGACGATTGAAACAAACTGGTTCGACTTCTACCTGATATCTGACCCGACAAGTGATGCTCGCCGTATGATTGAACGTGCTTGTGCATTGCTTATTTTTCTCATATTTTCGTTGTTAATGGATAAGATATAATCACCAGGCCGTAAGCCATGTTGGCTAGTTAGAGTTGAGGTTGGAGCTATCGAACGTACATAACATCCATTGACACCTTCGTCAATATACGCATCAACCACTAAGCCTAGAAAAAGAAAAGAATGGTTTCAAACGAGGAATTTGATGAACATTGCGATGGTCTTTTTTTACCGAGTTGATCAAAATTTTGTTTAACACGTAATTCACGTTCAAGGTAAACAGGTAATTGTATCACTTCATGATTAAGAAATGTGATGACACGTCCGGAAGATTGCGAACTAGTCGATAGAGCAGGTGAAGCCATACGCGACGACTGTCTTGATGAGGTCCATTTAGTTGTTGTGGTGGGTGTCGTCGGAGTTTTGATTGCTGATGGTGTTACACTGTGATTTTCATTATTATCATTGCTAAATACACGTTCGTGTTGCTTAATGATAGCATCGACTTCGTGAGCATCTTCGTCCACAACGCTTGCTGCAGTTACGGGAGTGGATGGCGAATGAAGAACATTTTTAATCGATTGTCTTTGTGCTAATGACGATGATGAGGATGATGGACGTGCAATGCTATAATTAATGTTATTCTTGTTATTGTTGTGATGGTCGTCGTCGCTACTCAAGTCAGGCTAAGTAAGAAAAACAAAAAGCAAAATAATCAATATATATATGACAATGATTTTTGTTCGTCATCTTTGTTTTTTGCTTCTTTTTTTTTTCTCTTTTAGCTTTCGTTTCCGATAGATAATGATGAAAAAGAGAAAGAAAGAGATAATGGGTGTTTGTATAGCTCTTGATAAGTCTGTTGTCACAATCGATAAACGGACTGGTACATGAGAACAGATGAAAAAACATCTTTCTATCTCCATTTCCACTTCTTTGGTTATCCGCTGGTGTTACTACACATACTGCTACTATATATTTACAGTAATCCATCTCGAATATATAAAAAAGCGCGACGAAAGAAGGTCAATATACTTACGATAGAGAAAACAACTAATCTATGTGATTGAAGTCAATGAGTATGAGTATTAAAGGCTCAATATGTTAAATTATAATTAACTTCAATGTAAATAGATACACTTCGAAAGATCTCATTTGTTCTACCGGTAACAATGATAATTTCGCGATCGTTCTCTCATTGGACACATCTTCATTGGAATTCAAATCAAGTTGGTTTTTTTTTCAGTCGATGACTCTCTCATTCTGTGTACCAAAAAAATACAGAAAAAAAAGAAGAAGAAAAAACAAAAACTATGTGCATGCGAAGCACATGAAGAATCAGAGCATGAGACACACACACACGCACAATGATATACACTAAAGAATAGCAGACGGATGGCAAGACGGAAAAGACCAGCCCAGCTATATAACAACGACAACAAAATATAATTCTTTCTGTCCGCCTTTTAGCTTTCGCCATAGTACCCCAAACACATACACGCACACAATGTTTCTTTTTCTTCTTCATCGTCTTCCTTTGCTTCGTCTTCCTTTTCCTTTCTTTTCTTCATCGATGGTCTCATTTTTTTTTGTATTCCTCTATCTTTCTCTGGTACCATTAACATTTTCCTTGAAGAGTAAGACGAAAAGAACGACAAACACAAAAAAAGGCTATAATTGAAAACAACGGCTAATACATGAAGCTCAATGCATCATTCATGCACATCCTTTTTTCCACTAGACCACACACGCAGAAACAAGTGAATTTATATTTTCTTTCTTCTTCACATGAGAGAAAGAAAATTACGATCATTAGAAACGAAAAAATATCTAAGACAATGTTTTTTCCTAATCAGATAAACATCGAAGAAAAAAAAATGATGTTAATAAAAAGAGAAAGGAAAAGGAGAAAATTCAATTATGAAGGAAAACTATAATTAACCATATCTCTTACCTGACAATGAACATCGTTAGATTTTCCTGAACATAGAACACATGAACGTAAGATTGAACAAACACGATTGTTTAACATCATCTTTGATTACAATGTGTATTAAAAGTTATTTCGATTGTCTACATACACGTTTTTTTTGTTCGTCTCTTTTTGTATATCTTATTGACTCACATTCATTGAGTTAATGTCGATAAATGCAACGAATCACCTGTATTGTCTACCTGCCGGGTATATCGTCGCTATTACTTACACCTCGCTTCTTTTCTCTTTCTCTTGATCACCATTCATTTCGAATTAGTTCGATTTTACTAAAACGCTTAGACAACACACAAAATCGAAGAATAGTCACCTAAAGCATCGATCATTTTATGTTAATCGAATCGGCGCATTTTATCAACGTATAGATACATACTCGTGTATTTATGTCTCTATGCTCTATGTCTTTTCTTCTTTGCTGTTTCGAAGATAGAGTTAGAAGTATCCAATGATTTATTTATGAATAACAATAGCGTAAATTGCTGACAAGATTGATGTTGTGTTTTTTAAAGTCAAATGCCAATGAAAATGCTAACATGAGTCTTCTGCTTTTATACATCTGTTTTTATAGTTCACATACCTTATTAGATTTCTTCATATTTTTATATTTAAAAGTCACGTATTAACCAAATATGCTTGTATGTTAACATCGAACTCGGCATATGCATGTCGATGGAGATATATGTGCAAAGAGGAAAATAGATAGAAATCAAGATCTAATCAATTCCGTAAAAAGCATCCGAAAGCCGCAGGAAATATCAAACAGAACGAAGACTGTCTATTCGATAGAGATGGATAATTTGAGCGAGAAAAGACATGGATATGGGGTCGAGTCGAAGAGGAACGATCTTTTTCTTGCGTTTTAATCAAGATGCATCCGTTATATCACCAGTGCTGTTGGTTCTCATTGAGACTGCTCAAATGTCACAACTCGTTTGTTTTGTTCTTTTCTTTCCTCGATATCTTCTCTGAAGAGTTCGATTGTTCTTCACTCTCTTTTCTTTTTTTCCTTTCTAGTCTTAACTTAATTCTCGCTACTTTCACTATTGTCACTATTTCAGTCAAATACACAGGCAAATTATCTGTAATCATCAATATTCTCGACGATAATCAAATTTTTCTCGACATCTATGAATACATTCTTTTTCTGTTGTCTTCGTCAGGATTCTCCCGTGGGCTTATGTGTGTCATCTGTTTAAATAACCAAATCCGAGAAAAGCAACTTACGTGCGGAAAACATGCCAACGAATCAAGTGTATTCGTCGTTGGTCGTAGTACGGACGGGCGAGTAACTTGAGCATGCTGTTGATCACAGACTGCCCGTGATCGAGATGATCTTTTCGATGATGAGACATAATGACTTGTACGTGGCGATCCGCCGCTAACGATTGCCGCTGTTTGGCCTATGATATTATTATTGAGATTATTATTCGTTGATTGTCGATTGAATTTAGTCGTAGAGAAAGCTGATGAACCACGTAACCGATCGTAGAATGGCGACGAGGCTATTTGCGGGTAAAGTACAAGGTGATCTGACCGGAACGAAGGAAATTCAGGTAAATTGGATATGACATTCGTCGATAGTTTTTCCTGTATTTGAGATTTCGGTTTTGGCAGTAGATCAAGGTATTCTTCTTTGTTCAATTGTCGAATTTTATCTTTAATCATGTCCGTTTTGTCCAAACAAGTCGTCTTGGAACGACGGTGTTTTCGATTAACACTGAAGGCACGTTTTTCAGTTTGTTCTCTCATATTTTCCTTATTTACTAGCGATTCAATATATTCATGTTTACTGAGAATAGCTGGAGCCGATAGAGCAATTCCAGCCGAAACAGCTGGTTGTTTAACAGCTGATGAATGTGAAGGACGATGAGTTGAAGCAGATCGCTAAAAGAGAAAAAAACAAGTATGAATCCAATATCTATACGAATGAATAAAAATCTGTCTCAATAGACTTTGTCTTTTCATTTCAATGAATGGTATAATTAAGTCTAGATAGGTTTAGAAAACTAATCCGATTAGTTTTCACGTATCCGACAAGGGATTAGTAACGATTTTGACGAGCTAAGCTTAGAATGTGCATATTCGAACATGAGCATGGATCGCTCTGTTGTTGTTTTACCAAAGATAACTATCGTCTAACTGAACTTGAAATGTTTATTTAATATCAACTAATGTTATTAGACGATAAGAACATTTGTATAAATGTTATGTCGTCAATCAACGAAGATGATATAAACATGCAAGAAAGACGTTTGTTTTCTATGTTTATCCTAACGCATTCTAGTATGATTTATCAGTCTAGTTTATTAACAATATGACTAATCGATTAGATTCTTTCCTATCGAGCAACAAGAAAATCGTCTTAACACAAACCGATTAGTTTCGAAATTTTCTTTTTATCGTTGCTGTTATTGTGTCGGTTTTCTTCTCAAACTTCGCAATAATAGCTGGAATTTTTTCACTTCTCATGCGCAACAAACTTCTTCTCAGAAAAGGGTTCTTTCTTTGATTTTTTAATAAGTCGCCTTTCATCTTTGAGAATACAACCGCCACGGGAAATAAAGTATTCACTTCTGTTATATGCTTTACTCAAAAGGAGTATTCATCCTTATGCGCTTTTCTCTTTCCACTAGATTTATTCATATAAGGAAACAATAGAGAAAAACATCACTCAAGACATTCCTATGACGTAAAACCGAATCTATCATTGAATATTCACCTGATGATGATTATGACGCTGTTCTGCTACTGTTGTTAGTGGTACTGACGATGTTGTTGCTTCACTCTTATTCGATTGCGATGATTGTTGGTTTATATTTACATCTTGATCGCTATCAGTAAGTATTTTATCATCATTATCATTCTTAAATTTTGGATAAGGCAATGGTTTGGATATGCTTAATTTCACACGACCTTTCGAAGTGGATTTTAAGATCTTAATCACATCATCTAAAGTCATATTTTCCAATGTGATATCATTCACTGCTACTAAACGATCGCCGGGAACGATACGGCCATCCAGTTGTGTTACGCCACCTGGTACTAAAGCTCGAATAACGATAACTGGTGAATGACTTGGATTGGAGGGATCTTGATAATCGAGAATGGAAAATCCCAAACCATTATCACCTTTAATTAATTCGACATTGACAATTGATGTTGACCAGAGAGCTAAATTTGAAATGACTTCTAAAGAACGAGATCTGATGTATTTAGGAGATTTTTTCAATGGTGAAAGAAGGTTGATTGCAACATCGGTGGAATCCAAAGTTCCCAGACTCTTAGCTTTGACAACGATCTCCGCTGTTTTACCAAACGATATCGAACGAGTACGGTTTGTATTCGTATGGTTCGATATAGCTGTTTGAGTCGTCGGAGGAGATTTACGGCGTGCACAAACGAGTTTGATTTGATGTTTAACACGTTTGAGAATTTCAATAACGTGAATATGGTTCTTTCCATAGAGGACTTGATTGTTAACCTTGCAAGAAAATAAGCTACAATAAATCTACTTCGATTTAATCATCTTACTTCGAGTAATTCATCACCGGATCTCAGTGTCCCTTCCATTCCTATGGGTCCTTCACGTAACAATGCTCGTATATAATGATGCGGTCGAACTTCTTCGCCATTTTCAATATCCACTGTGCCCTCTAGTGTGATACCCAAACCACCATTATCAGGTTTATAGACATCAGCAATAAGAATTTCATAATTATTTCCGAGAACTTTCGACCATTTCTGGCCGACTTGTTCATTGATGTTTAATTGTGGCTGATATTCAAGCTTTTCTTCACCTTGATGTGCGGATTCTAGTGCTAAGATGAAAAGATCACGATTTCTACAGAATTTATTCAATAGATCGTCTTACCAATCATTTCTTTGATTTTCTCATGCTTCGCACCGTCAAGATAACGTCGAACCTTCAATCTTACGGATGAACTCGTATTTTGTAATAAATAGAGTGCTTGAACATTAGAAAAGCCATTCAATGATTGATCATTAACTTCGATAATTTGGTCACCGATAGTCAAACGGCCATCGCGTGCACAAACACTGTCTTCTGCAATGTCACGGATGAAAATTCCAGCTATAGCATCTAAATAACAAGATACAAACGATCAAGTAAGCTCTTGTGCGAGTGAAAAGTACTCCTAGCTTTTCCTTTTCCATTAGTCGTTCGTATCTACAAAGAGTGCTTCAATTCCATCAGAGAAATTAGTTCCACTAATAAATAAATATATGGTTTTGTTAGAAAGAAACGAATAGGGATGTTGTAAATAACAGCAAGTGTATCTCTCGTTTTCCCTTTCTTATTGGAAACTTGAAATCGAAAAATGACAGAGAAGAAAAGGAAAATGTCATGTTTTTAATTAACAGAAATGCTGATACTTTGTAGTCTTTATTGATTCATATAGAAAAATAATTAACTTATATTTATAAACATCATAGAAACTTTCCTTTACCCTTGAATTCACACAGAAATCCTCCTCACAAAACGAGACGAAAGAAGGAGAAAAGAAAACAACGACAAATGCTTTACCATTATTCGTGGAATCAGGACTAACATAACCGGCGACAGTAATGCCTAATCCATCATCACCTTTTTCCAACGTTACGTCCAATAACTCAGTGCCATCTTCCTGTTGACACTAAACATATTAATGAAAAACCATGAGATATTTAGATGTGACAATGAAAGCAGGAAAGGAGAAAAAGGACAGCCAAAATATTGTCGTCTTACTAAAGTATTAGATGCCGTAGTGTTTGGTGATGCTCGATCATCGTGGAGAATGCGAAAAAGATACTCGAGATTAACAATCGTCAATCGACTGGCACTCATCTCGCGTTTTTTTTTAATAGAATCAACGACATACATACTACAGTGACTACTTGTTTCTTCCTCTCTGTGTCGGTTCCTCTTGCGTCTTACTACTATGACTACTAGAGCAACCTGTCATGGCTGCATTCAGCGTAAAGACTCTTGAGTCGAGAAGTCGACGAGAATGATGAAGGGTGAAAAGAAGAAAGTGCCCAAGGGATTCGAAGGATAGATGGAAAGAGAGAAAAGGATGCTGAATACGAGAGGAAAATGTGTGTTCGAGGAAAGTGAGAAAAGATGCCACACACATGCGCATATATTCTCGCTTTTCCAGATAATTAATCGTTCTCTTTTTTTCTTCCTGTTTCATAATGTCAATAGAATATGCAAAAAAAAATGGAAAAAAAAATTATCGTCACCAACCTGTTCACGAAGATTTTCCAGAAGCTTTTCAAAATTATAATTATTTTCTAATAAACGTTCAGTTCGAAGCAAGACCTTGTTTGGCGAACTATTTAGTATTCCATCGTTGTCACTAATTGTCCCTAATGATGGTCGAGTAGATAATGAATCACTGAGATTAGTTGTTCGATTTAATGTTTCCGATGTTAATGATGCACGCTGTGACATTAATGGCGGGGTATTCATCGCTGTCTCCGTTGATGTTGGCTCACGTACACTTCGAGCCACAACAAGACGAACTTGTTGAGAACTCTGCCGAAGTATACTAGCTACTTGTTCGGAACTCATACCACGTACAGAAACATGATTGATTTGAAATATATGATCACCCGTACGGATACGGCCATCCTAGATCAAAATCGATATTAAAACGGATATGAAGAATCGTTGATGTATTGCTCATCAGATTGGCAGGATATATGAAGCAAATGACTCGATGTCTATCTCGCTCGTGCTATTTTCTTTCTTCGCTTTTTCCGCTCGTTTCTAAGACGGATATATATACATACTGACTGTCATTCATTAAGCAAATTTATTTTCTTTCTTTCTTTCTCTCACACATATTCTGTCTGCAAAGCTTTCTTTTTCTATCTCTCGTTTTTTCTTTGTCGTCAGTTTTTTTCTTGCTGATGCTGTGCCTTCTCTTTCGTCATTCTTCTTTTCTTTTCGGTTTCTATTCTTTGTATATTGTCTATTGTTCGATCAGTTGGAAAAAAACAGCTGGAAGGAAAATAAACTCGACGGGTCAGATCAGAAAACAACAAGATAATCTGATTAAATCGATAGTACCTTGTCGACGGTCGAGCCAGGTACGATTGCTTTGACAACGACACCTGTTGACTTGTTGCCTGTAATGCCAAAGCCAAGGCCGGACCCGTCGTTACTTAATTCGACAACTTCGATTTGTGTCCACAATGTATTTAGCTAAAAGCAAGCAAGACGGATCAGATATCAACATGTCTGACATACATATATATTGATTTGTTTATCTATTCTATCAATCATTAAACATATCTTACCACCATGTCGACGTGAGCAGGCGTCGACGGTGTTGGAACACAGCTGTGTCCATCGTTAGCCGACGTTGACACAGCCGCATGAGGATAATCTGCAGCTGGACTAATAACCACAAGCTCGATGGATAGATGGGCTGGATCAGTAAGCAGTTGTTGAGCGCGACTAACAAGTGCAGTATCTTGCGAGTTTAAATAAGTATCGTTAATGCACACGATTTGATCACCTACACGTAGTTGACCATTTCTACAAAGAAAAATGCACAAAGAGAAATAGTCGTGCCTAGTTCGCAGCACATCTCGATGTATTGTTATTGAAAATTCACGATCTACTAGTCAATGAAGAAAGAAGCGAGCATCTTTCTAACATAAGAGTTCATTAATGTCGTTCCTAATTGAATTTTTTTAACAAAATCTCTATTTTGTATACATTAACCAACACCAGACATCATTGGCATCGTCTTATCACTCTGATCTAAATGTTACAACAGCATGTTTCCGATGTGTTATTATCTTAGTGATCTTTACAAAGTACATATCTCGATGATTATTTGTTTCTTTGCTTAGATAAGAAAAACAAAAAGAAAAGTGCCTTACTTGACTTCATATTGTCGTATGTTTCTCTAACTTCATTAAACAGTTTCAACAAGGTGCATATATTCGTTGTCGATATCTCATTAAAAACTCTTTCTCGTTTTCCTGTTCATGATTATCATAGCGATGATGAAGATGATAATGATCTATTCCTTCCGTTTTTTTCTTTTCTTCTTTCTTTTTTATATTCGACGAATTTATCCTTTGTGACAATAGTTGGTGATCTCTCGAGACTTGCACAAGACGATTGATTCTTTCTTCTTTTTTTTTTCATTCACATACATACATACGCACGCATACATACATACATACCAAAGCAACAAAAAAAAAGAAGGAGAATATGAAAAAACGAGTGTTATTGATCGTTTCTTTCCTCTTTCTCCCTCTCGTTTTTATAGATACTCAGAAACTGAACTATATTTCCAATCTAGAAAAAGTTTTCCTCTCGGAAAGCTAACTTGTCAATGTATATTTCTCTTTTTTCGGCTTTTATGTGTATGTGTGTGTGTGTGTGAGTCCCGACAACTGTCAAAAGTGGCAGAACATACACAGTATACACGCTAGAAGAGAGATGCTTGGTGCACGACATACATTTTCTTTTTCTCTCTATCAGAGAGAAGAAGAAAAAAGTTGACGCTACAACGCAAGAGGAATTATTTGTAAATCATCTCTTTTTGCGTTTCCTTATCGTAAAAGAAAAAAAAAATGGAAAACATAACTAGATGTTATCACTGAAGGTCACGAAAAGGCGAGAGAGAAGTGTCCCCTTTTAGAACCGAAGAAAAAACAACAAATAATCCAGATTTTTATTTATCCTATTAGTATCGAGATCTTCCGCTGATGTCAATATCATTTTAATTAATTGAAGATCCGATTAGATCATGTTCTTTTTCGAACAGTTCGATATAAAACAGATTGTTGATCTCTACTGACAAGAATCCCACGAGGAAGAAACGTTAAACTCCCAAAAATTAGGTAAATCATCAAGGATATGAAAATTGTAACTAATCCGATCTATAGAATAACAAAAAGAAAGATGGAGAAGAAAGGAACTCACAGATCAGCAAGGCTATTGGCTTGGATATTTTGAGTAAAAATTCCATTAATACCAAATAAACGATGTTTTCTACCGATAATACTAAATCCTAATGAATCACTCGATGTTTGTTTATTCAGAACAACTTTTCGAACAATATTATCATTCGCTAAGCGTTTGTTATTCTTGATATCTACAACAACAAATCAATCCATCATCACTATGAGCAGATTTACGGTGAAATTCTTACTTTGACTCGTGATTTTCTTATTTAAATAGTTCAGATGACCTTCAATATCAAAATCGAATAGACAATTTCTTATCGTGGGATTTCCTTTATCAAGTTCAATTTTTAGTTGTTGAAACGAATCTTGTAAGTTATATAATGTTCGAAATAATGGACTATCAACGATTTGTTTCAGTGATTCAATATCAGGTTGTTGACAATCACTATACTGACATAAACGTTCACTCAAGCGTTTTAATATGGTACTGGCTTCTATAGAAAAAGATAATCAAGTATAGGTTTCCAATTAATCAAGTGTATATGTGTTTTTACCGCATAGTTGAGCCATGATAATAGAAATAGATAGCGAACGGAATGCATGACCCGAATTCTTTGTTGATAAATATTATAGTGCGTCTTTGTCCTTCTCTAGAATAGATGAAGGAAACGTAGAAGATAGAAAATCGATGATGACGAGCACGACGACAAGTTCTCTAGAAAAAAAAGACGAAGAAGTGATGGTCTAGGACTAACTACAAACGATCGATCGATCGATCGATTGGATTTGTTTATGTTGCTTTTCCTTCTTTTCTGCTCCTGTTTTCCTAATATTATTTTGTCGTTCTCACCGATCTCATTGGAATGACATAAATAACAAATGATTAAATAGCGCTACAATCTCGAAAACGACAGAATAATCATTGTAATAGTTTAATGGTTTTCTTCAACTCAACGCGTAGATCAAGAAGGCGACGAATGCGTTTGGAAAATTTTAACACTTGCTAATCGAATAAATCGCTAGGACTTATTTCATCTATTTTCTAGATTATTTTCCATTAATATCTCTCTAGATATTTTCTACTCGTCAATACTACAGACTATTGATCAGAATAAATCCAATTACTTAATTTTTCTATATTACCAAATTTCTCGTTGACGAATCGATTAAAAGTTTACGATTGATTATTCGATTTTCGTACATTTGAATTGCTCTACATATGAAAATTTTCCTTTATTTTAGAACTCTGACGAACCTGTATGCGATGTTTCTCTTGTCGATGCTTCAGTTGGATTTGAACGCACCATAATAAGTGTGTTTCAACTGACGGCTTGTCAGTCATTACTTTCTTTTTTTCTTACGATGAAAGAGATTAGTTTTGAAGAGATAATGCCTCTCCTACCTGATGTCGACATTGAAAAAAAGAAATTTAATTAGAAAGAAAAGTTGATCAGAAATCTGACCCGAGAGCATGTTGATGATGTCCTTGTTTCGTTATATGAGCTTTCCGAGGGAAAATATACGATCGTTCGATCGTAAGAGTCGTCATCAATGCTAGTCAAGACAATTATTTCTCCTTAGAAATGATTTATGCTCAAGTAGATAGAGATTACTTAACAACGATTACAATATTCGCAGCCGAAGTTTGTCTTCTATTGATGTTTTAGCATATCGATTCAACTCGTTGAACGGATTCATGTCGATTACTCAAGCGTCATTCAACGTGCTTAGTTGATTTCCATTTCCAATGATTAGACACTTGCGAAGATTTCTTCATTACACATGATATGTGGCAATGTCGTGACTCGGACTTATGAATAATTAACAAATTCATTCTTGTTCGATATTAATTATGTGTAAATTCATTACTGATCTATGATTTATTCAATGAACTCGACTGTGTTCGTCATTTGATTGAAATAAACGATGTTTTTTTTTTCTAAATTATAGTGGGAGTGTTAGGAATAAAACGATTGATCTATTTGTTGGCTTTTTTAGAAGCAATGAATGCAATTCGTGTGCAAATTCACTTGAAATATTTCTCCGACGAGAATTCGTCGAAACAATTTCATAATTTTTGGTATGCTTTCGAACCGAAGAAGTTGTTGACGATTAAAGATGTTCTCGAAGATATTCATGGAAATTATTTGAAAGATCAACAGGAGTTGATCGTTCAGCTTGACGATTGTCAATTATTACCTTTTACTTCTAGTCAGATTCTACGAGATAACGATCAACTAACGTAAGAAAGTTTTTTCATGTTCAAAGTTGGCGAATCTTCCTGGTTTTAGTTTAATTCCATTAGCAAAGCATAACCTACAAAGAAAATCGCTGCAAGATTCCGTGAATTTCAATCTGCCATCATCAATAGCTATGGAACCATCAATAATTGTGCCAGAACATAGGCATAAACGGCACCGATTGGACTCCAATATTCAGAGTATCTCAACTGAATCAACAATTACGATTATACCGACAATAGAAAAGGTTGAGGAAGCACCTCGGAAGAAGAAAACGAAAACAGAAACACCGGAAAATCAATCAAAACCAGAGCCAGCAATGGTCAACGAACCAGTTATTGAAAAAGAGGCCGTTTGCGAATTACCTATATCCGTTCCGTCCACGAATGGTCGTCTCAGAGAATTGAAATCGAAAACACCGGCATGGAAAAGCCAAACATCTACTGTCAAAGGAAATGTTCAAGGTACCATCGACCTTCGTTTTTCATTACTTCTTCTCTTTTTTCATCTTTAGAAAAGCTTCATATCCGATTTGATTCTGATAGCGATGAAGAAGCACCATTGCCACCACCAGAACCAGAACCATCACTGAAAATTCCAATCTCGATCGAAAAGACGAACTCTGTCGAATCGCAGCCCGTTATCAATGATAGTAATGCTTCAACTCGCATTCATTATGTGTCAACACCAGTTTCGTCAGATATAGAAAAACCTTCGAGTGAGAAGCAAACTCCGCAGAAAACAATTGATCTGCTGTTTGAAATGAAACAGCATAAAACTGTCCAAGAAAAAGAGGCAAAGAAAATTCAGCAACAATACGGTCGTAAACGTTCTCAACATCGAAAACGGGCATTGAGCTATTTTTCCATCGCGACTTTTGTTGATCGAGCATTCGGTCTTAATGCAGATGAGACCGAAAAGCAAACTACAACCAATGGACATCATTCCTCATCGTCATCTGCATCCTCACCTCAAGTATAAAACACATCTAAATTGAACATGTGAAATGTACAAGGCACTTTTTAGACATTACCAACGTCATTCAGCAAAAAAGCTCGTCTACCACTTATTGCTGAGGCAATTGAGAATAACGACAAAATTTATGATCTTTATCCTCCAATCACTCAGATTCCACCTATTCAAACACGTTTAGCATTCAAATTATTAGAATTGAGTGAGACTTTTTGTCCGACAATGTCGCAGTATAAAGAGGGAACAGTAACGAATATGAATGAAACAACCGGTGAAGTAACCATTCAACTTGACAAACCACTTCAAAGCGTTTTCGATCAACCATCGAAATTCTACGCACCAACTGATGAAATGCCGGTTGTCGAAGAAGAAAACTCAACAACTGTAAGATCAATCTTTTCACTCTTCTTCATTATTTCGTTTATTTCAGGTGACACTACCATTTTCTGAGCTGAATTCTGTTCGATTATTACCAACATAATCTTTTTTTTTCAAGTGATCTACTTTTCTGTCTTTCCAACAAAACTTTGATAATAAAATGCACTCAATCACAAACCTTTTAATCGACAGAAGACAAACTAATTGAGTTATTATTCTTTCGATCGAATCGATTAATCAAACTTAATTTCTGACAGTTTTTTTTCTATTTTTTCCTGCCTTTCTTCCTCTTAATTTGAATAACATCTGGTAAAAGAAAAAAAAACAACAAAACCGATAACTAAGGCAACAGACATGCACACTCTAACTGTGATGTTGATTTTATATTTTCTTTCTTTTTTTTTCTATTCTCCTTGCAACGTCTTCTTTACTCATTGTCGTTAGTTTCTTCATTTTAACCAAAACATTCTGTAACTACACACATACGCGCACGGTAACTCTTCAATAAGAGAGAATTATCAAAACAACACAAGTAGAATGAGAAGAACATGTCGAGGAAAAAATCGTTTCATTCCTGTTCTGTTACTTCCAACGAAGAACTTGTAAATAGAAAGAAAGATTGAAGGTAAGACAGAACGAGAGAGAGAGAGAAAAAAACCGTAATGAACAAATCTTGCACTATCAAAAATTTTTTTTTACATATCGTTGTCATTGAGTAGCAGTCAAATTAGATTGAAACCTTAACAAAAAATCAGAAAATTGATATTCAGCCTTTTGTAAAAAAAATTCATAAACATTTACTTGGCAACATAGATTAAGTAGCAATACCATGGCTCGTGTAGCGGCTAATCATAACTCGAATGTAACTGCAACGCCTTTTCTGGATCAATTATCGCATGAAGTGATAAAAGAGACGTCGAAGAGCTTGTAAGTCTATTGTATTTTGTGAATTGTGAGATTTTATAGTTTAATATTTGCTTTAAGGAGACATTATATCGATGTAAAACGTCGAGAAAATGGTTTTGTTCTTAATCCAAATTCATCTGCAGTCGAATCTGCACCGATCCGTGCAGTAAGTTTCGATTCGCTATTTATATTTTATTGTTATCCTTGTATTTCAGAGATATATGTATGGAACTGCAAAACAATATCCACCATTGTATGGATCATCCTTTTCTGACAATGACATCAAGATTTATATGCGGAGTTTTCAACAGCAACAAAGACATGCTCATGTGAACAATATTTTTTTTTCTTAGTTCGTTTCGATTTGTATAGAAGTATTTTGTAGTCTAATCAGAATCCATCGGATAAACGAATGTGTCGTGAAGAACTTAATTATCATATGCGTCCAAAACGATCATCGGTAAACATGTTTTTTAAGAAGGAAAATTCTTCTTCGATGTGAATTTGTAGTCGAAAGAAAATCAAAAATTTGCTGAACTTCGTTTAAGACCATCGGCACGATCGACCTCGGCGTGCAGCATGTAAGTTTTAGCGTTTGAATAAGTAAACTATTTATTAATACATTAGAGCAAGCGGTCGTGATTTTCGCCGAGAAATGCCTAGATCTGCTTTTAAATTATCTCGTTTCGAGCAGAGCCAGTTAGTCGATGATACGGCAACTATTCTTGCATCAATGGTTAAAACTCGTCGATCGATTTATGAAACAAACTTAGCATTACATGTACGAGCTCTCTGGTTTGATAAAGCATGAATTATCATGTTTTACAACTCATTTAGACACCACATCAATACATTTCAGCGAATAACAATTCTGCTTTCCGTTCGACAAAGTAAAACTCAAAGATGGAGTCTCTTAGTTTTCTAATTGTTTTTCTAGTGAGCAAACTCCTGTGCCACCAAAACGCTCTGCCTTACCTCGTACGTCTGTCGACTCACATGCATCATCCAATTACACTCCAACCGCTAAACCGAAACGTAAAACATCGGATGCACAAGAAGAAGAATTAGCAACTGTAAGACCGAAGTTTTGAAGGTGAACTCACAGTTCTCTATTCATCTCTTCCAGATGCGTCGTGCAAAACCAATTACGAAAAAAGGTCTCCTCTGCGATTATAAAGTGACCATACGAACTGGAGATCGTAATGGTGCATCAACAGATGCACCCATACGTATTATGTTTTTTGGAACAAATGGTTGTACAAATTTTTCAGATCTGACCGAATCCGAAAAGCATCGTGTTCCGTTTTGTAAAGATCAAACTGATGTTTTCACTGTATCAACCGATCATGTTGGACAATTAGCTGGAATAAGAATAGGACACAATCAAACAGACATGCGTAATTGAGTAACTGATTTGATAATTTGATAATGAATTGATTTCGTTGTAGGATCGGGATGGTTCTTAGATAATATTACTGTTTTTGATCCGATTCGTCAAACTACTTCAGAGATACCGTGCAATGCTTGGCTATCGAATAAAGCGGACGATCAGAAAACAATGCGTGATTTGCCCGTTGTTAAAACAGTACCAAATGCAAAAGCGAAGGAATCCCACAGTATGAGAGATTTTTCTTTCTAGAACATTTCAAATTTCTCAACAAAACAAATCTTTTAGAGCACGAAAAATCACATGATAGTCAATCGGATCACTCGGCAACGGCAAGAAAAAGTTCGGCAACATCTGAAAGCACAATTCGTAATGGATCTATTACTCGTAAACAGACAAAAAAGCATCATCATAAGAAACAATCTCGTCGATCGGACGATTCAATCACAGTACCTAAAAAATCAGTGTCGCCATCACCACCACCGCCAGCGACAACAATCGAAGCTCATTATGACCAGGATGAATTTTCCCCGGTTCCTTCAACACGACGCACTTTATCACCACACATTTCAACATCATCTTCTGAATCCGAACATGAACTTGATAATCGTAGTCATTCAAGCAGATCATCAACATCCGAACACCTACCGAGAAAATCGTCTAGCGAGCGTGATACTCCTCCAGCAAAAACTGAAACAGTGAAAACGAAACCAATTCAACACCGTCGACCTTCTTCTTCTTCTACTTCGTCTGGTCGACCAATCGTAAGCAAAAAAAAGGAAGAAAAGGAGGAAGATAACGAAGATGCGCATTCCTTTTTCGAGTAAACTTTCTGATTTTCTCTCTTCTTTGAAATTTATCAAGAAAATACTCACAAATACTTTTTTCGTCTTGTGTTTTTCTATTGCCAGCTGGCATTCAAATTAACTTGCAATTAATCACTCCAATTACCTCTTCTATAACGTTCAACACAACATAAACTTACGATCTAGTGTTTGTATGTAAAAATGATCATAACCAGACATCGATAGTCGAGAAACAAAATGAGACATCGTATAAACATTGAAAACAAGAACTAATCTCCTATTTTTCGAAATCATAGCAGACGAAAAATCTTCTTCTATCATAATTAATTGCTGCGTACCCATCTGCACAGTGATCCAATTCTCACTCTCTTTTTTTTCAAGTCTTGCATGTGACAATTGTCGCCTGTTGAACGGCAATAAGCGAGCGATCGACACAAAGATAATAAAAAAAAGTGTATTTATCCTAAAACACGAGCACATGAAAGAATAGAAAGATCAAGAAGGAACAAGATAACAAATTCATATAATTATTCTCGAACTATTTAACTAAAACTCTTTTCTATGACTCCCTGAAGAGTAAGCAAAGAAATGAGTTTTAATAATTAAATGGAAGTTGACTAACAAAATGTGTTTACTAAAGTGTAACGATATAGATAGATAAGATGCTCCTCCTGGGATTAGTTTTGTCTAATTAAAATGACAGATAGATAGACAGACAGAAAGTGCAATCTGCCAAGTGTTTATTGAAAGAACACACACACATACACACTTACATCATTGAAATATATTTATAGAAGTAAAATGCACAAAAAGAAAATGAATAGATTTGAAAGTATCGTTCGAGGAAATTCTATTGTCGATTGGTTGAAATAGTTCGTTGATGACTATCATCGGACATTGATGATGTTGATGATAAGTTTGAATGGTTCGATGGTGTAGACCATGGTTGCAGGTTCTGTAGAGCATTCAATGATGCACTTGAATATATCAAGGAATTGTTAGCATCAGTAGAGATTTGTTGAGATGGTGAAGGTAGTTTTGGGCTTGATGATTCGGAGCGGTGGTGAGAATTGGATAGAACAAGATGATTGGCTGCTTGTCGTTCTTGTTCACGTTCTTCTGCTGTTTGTCGACGCCATTTAGTTCGCCGATTTTGAAACCATGTCTAAAGCAAATGAACTGATTTGTGGAAAAACGGATTTATATGATTTACTTTCACTTGTGCGTCGGTCATTTTTAGACCTTTTGCTAGTTGTGAACGTTCCGAAGACGCTAAGTACTTTTGTCGATGAAACCGTTTTTCTAGTTCCTATTGAATTAAAATAGAATAAATACTGAACAGATGAAATATTCGTATTTACGAGAATCTGTAAACGAGTAAATGATGTACGAGGCTTTTTTCTCTTCGGCGGTGTTCGATTTTGATAGGGATGACCCAAGCGTCGTTGATTATTAAATACTAGACAAAAAAAACGCAGTATGTGCGTGACAGAACTCATTAAATGAGAATAGCAATTAACTTACATGAAAAACGATCTTTAAGAATACTATCTGTTTGAATCCATGGATAAGTTCCATTTACAATTGGTAATAAAGAATAATCTTGATTGCGGTAGATTGATGATGCTCGCATTAATTGTTCATAATTGGATAAATGAGTTGTTGATTCGTTGCTAGAGATTGTTGAAGTTAATTCAATTGGTCGATCATTAGATGATGTGATCAGATCAGAATTCGTGGATACGGACGAGGATGTCGTAGGAGAAGCCGAAGAAGTAACAGGTTGAGCAAGGAGATCAGAAATATTAAAGCCAAGTTTCTTACTCATTGCTTCGAGATTCAATGAATGAAGATAATTTCAGTAGTGAAATGATCCGTTTGTCATTTAGTTTATTAAAAACTCATTCAAGTAAATCATCTCCCTCTTGATATTACTGTCGCATTCTTTATTGTGCATCGAGCTATCTATCCAAGATTTAGCTCTTTTTTCTATTCTCGCTCTTATTCGGTTTTTTTTTCTTCTCCTCTTTTTTTTTTATCGATACCCATTAAAACGATCTGTTTCTGCTCAATGTAACCATCCTACAATTACTTCTCTCTCTCTCTCTTTCTCTCTTCTTCATTCTCTCTAGTTCTGTCTGGCAAATTTGAGAACTGCTGCAACAACAATCAGAAATTGCACGCGATGATATGTTTAATGTAATTGATTCTTCCCTTCTTCTTCTCATTCGTCGATCGTGATTGTCTTTTCTTCAACCAATTGACTGATCGTTTTCCCATAGAGAAACATTTATCTTCTTTCCTTTGCTTGACTTGTCTCTCGTCTCGATGGATAATCTTTTTTTCTTTAACCAATAATATGATCTCTTTCGACGAAGAAACTATCAACAGAATTACAAACGCTTAGAATGATTATATTGATTGGATCTTATAAGCAGACGAACGACTGTTGACGACACACATGGATGCTGATAAGAAGTTGATGATATTTGCCTTTATACACACATACGTATTCAAAGAGAAAACGAGAAGAGGTGTTGACTGAGAGATTCTTTTCGCTTGTGTATATATCTGGTTAATGTCGAGCAATCAAATAAATTACATCAGTTAGCCAATAAATAGGTGTATTCATGCAATAATTTATTTCAAAGCACACGCGTATGTATATCACATAGATAAATATCATAGAAACAAAAGAAGAGACAATTTTTTTTATGTATTGATTGTAAAATTTCGGCATGTTTCGCAATTCATCTCACATTGGTTTGATTGTTCAATCGCGAAAACATTCGTGAGCAATAACGAGGTTCGGTACCATGTTGACAATAATAACCTTCTTCTAAAACATGTCGAAGAGGAAGAACAAAACCAGAGATAGTTAGCAAGATTCCAATTAACAGTATAATATACGGAGCAAAGTCATCCAATGATGACCATTGCATTGTTGTTGGTCTCAATTTTAAGTAGCACAATGCTGGGAGGATGTAGGCAAGTGACGATGCAACTAATAATCCCTAGCAAGACAATTGTGAACGAAGTATTCAGTTGATTTGCAATCACTTACATTCAATTCGAGAACAATGCCGAGACAATCTGTAGCTAATGATAACAATACACTCGATGCGACAATAAGACTCGTTATGATATAATGCCGTCGATCTGAACTAAAGTTCAACCATTTATTTCCAAGAATTTCGATTACCTTCAAGTAAACAATTAGCTAGCAATTTGTTTCTATCGAAAACATACTTGACGGCAAACAAGACATTCTAATGGAAATGTCAACATTATGTTTATAGCATAGATAAGTCGAGCTATATTTATAAGTGTATCCCAATGACAATAATTTTCCAAAAGATCACCTGAAAAGAAACAGAAAACAGATCGATATTGTTTCTTCTTTCAACAAGAGTTTTACCTTCAGTTTGTTGACCGAAGACCATGTAGCCGGTCAATGCGTACATTACAGCAAAGATGAATGCAACTGTAGTTGTAATCAATGTAACAGTTCGCCATCGTGGAAGAGTCTTTTCACTCATTGAATGAAAAATAAGAAAAGAATTATGTTGGCACATGAAAGCAAAACTAAACAGAAAAGAAATTATTTGGATGAGATGAAACGATCTTTCGTCTTACGCCATCACACCAATACTTTCAGCTAGATTTGTATTCACCATGCGAATTTCAGACGATCTAAAGTACAAAAGTCTAGTTTTTTTTTCTTTTTCGTATATGATTTACATAAATGACATCGTATCTGCACCGCGTTTAATCAATATTAATACTGTAATGATAACAAGAATCAGTCCCATAAGTGATATCTGAGATAATTTTGCAATATTTCGATAGAGAGATAATGGTAATGTAACAAAACATGAACATAGAAAGATAATTATATACCGATTTTGAAATAAATAAGGTATAGTTGGCCATAAGCGGTGAAGAACTTTCGTAACCGTATCACCTAGATATATTCGTCAGTATAGAAATCGAAGAGAAATGAAAAGTATTTCGATCTCGTTACCGATAATAATATTGTAGGAAATTAAACAGATAAATGGGTATAAAAATTGAACTAACGAGAGCCAGAGAAAACCAAATTTACCCAAAACAGTATAAACAAGTTCTTGATAAGTGTTCACTTTTGCCATGTGACCGGAACGGATTAAAATTGTTGTTGAATAATCTAAGTCATAAAAAAGAACATAGATCAAATTTTGATTTGTTTTTCGGTGATTTCTTCGAATCGTAGCGCATTGATCGGAAAAGCTCACCTTTCCTTACCAGTTAAAATGGCAACGATACCAAGCAGTATAAATCCAGCTACGTAACCCGATTGGCGAAATGCATAGCTCATACCTAGAAGACTAATTGAACAAGAAAATAATACAGAAGAAAGGAGCAATCTACCGATAACGCCTGATCCAACAATTGAATTGATCAAATTATACGATGCTCCGGCAATGCTACTTCGACGGTGTATTTCGTCTTCATCCTATTGCATTCAAAGAGTGCCATCGTGTCATTGATGAATATTTTGTCAGTTTATATTCGATTCCAACTTACTGTAAAGAAACGTGTTGATCTAAAGAACAATTAGATGAAAAACAAGAAAATTAGATCGATGATCAATACCCAGACATAGCCCGTTTTATGTAACGTGTCACTCGTCGATTGAATTTTACTACACTGTCCATAATGTCTGAGCATAATCGATCATTACAACTTTTCTAAAACAAAAATAGTCGTGCATGAAGAGCCGATAGAAGGAATTTGCGATATTTTATTCTCTTCGATTGATGCTGTGTTTAGATATACGAAAACGAAAAAATAAATATAACAAAAGAAAAAAAAATAAATCGGTGGTCTCACAAAGCCTAAAGAAGAACTCGTTGGGAACAATTGAATAACGTTACAACAAACTGTTACGTATGTCAAGAAGTCTTTTTAAAAAAACTTAAGTGAATCGACACTGTTTTGAGTACGTTGTTGTCTAGAGAAACGGAATGACTAGTTGAGAAAGTTAATTTTCTAAAGTGTGTAACGTTTTCGTTTACTTTTACAATGTCGTCGTCGAACGTAAAGGACGATAATCACAATAAATATAAGGAAATAGAATGAAAAACGTTGTACAATGGAAGTTAAATAAGAGAATAAACCAGATTTTTGTTTGAAGTCATGATTGATTTCAATCATTGAATATTGATCTATTCGTGATGGTATTTGATCTTTCTTATTCGAAGATTCACTGGGATTCTCGACAGATGACAAATCAAAGTTATCTTTTGAATAATGTTTTAAAAGAAAATCAAGAGTCGATGCCGAATCAAAATTCGTTTTGTCCATTCGACATTTCGGACAAAGATTGCTCGATGGAAATTGAATTTTCGGATTCTGAGGATCTTCAGTTTCGTCACCATGTAAGCGTTCGTTAACATGATTATGAACTAAAATGAACAAGGAGAATATTAAAGGCTGAACTATGTCTGCTTTACCTTTCCAGAGATACACAACAGCTGCATTTTTGTCGTTCGCATCAAGTTGATGAAGTTCATTGGTTTCTTTCATAAAATTATCACTGCAATGTCGACATCCGAAAAAATATTTAATGAAACCTTTGATTGCAGACGGAACTTCAGTAACATGTGTATTTTGAAATTCTGTGTGTGCACAATATGTTAAAATCAAACATGAAAATCAATGAAGAGTCTTACCGGTTTGAACTTGGGAGACTGTTAGCGTATGAAAAAGAAGCCAGAGTGCACACGGATAACCACGATATTGTGGAGCAGAGCCTGTGCAATATATGTATCGTATTTGATTGTTTGGTAAATAGCTATTAGATGCGTTAATATCGGCTAGTTCACGAAATTGTTTTCCAGATAAGCCATTTGGTTGTTGTTTAACTTTAGATAATAGATCTTTGAGATAAGTCATGACTGGTTGACGGCCAGGAAAATACTAAGGAGGGAATAGGTAAAAACTTCATTTTATTCATTGTTACTTTACTTTAGTCAGTACAATTAGCCAATGTAATAAGGCATCGTAAGTTTCGCCATAGATCATTTTGATTCGCGGTACTTCTCGACGTAGCATATAGGATAGTGCAGTTTCCAAATCGACCATGTTTAGTTTTTGATTTTCGATGACTGCTCCTTGAGCTTCGTTTGTTCCTTTGACTTCGGATTTTTTTAATGCATTTTTACTATGAATGATTTCTTCTAAGTCACGATCATCGAAATTATCAATACATTTGCTCTTATGAACATATGATCGAATAGCATAATTCAATAAATTCCGACTACCGAGATTCTCACTAGAAAGAACACATTCTGTACAAACTGATGCCAGTGATTGTGCAATTACTTCATATTCTGCTTAGTATTCATTCTTTCTGTCGTTCCATTAGAATGAATAATAAATACAGCAGGTATATCGGTGAGATTTAATTGTAATTGACCCCACAATTTCCCATCGGTACTTGCACGAAAAATCACCAGTTGTTCATGATACTTGGAGAAATCTAACATGATCTAAAAGCGATCTATTAGATTTCGATATGTTCATATGGAGTACACGTACTTGTCGACCGGTGAAGTCATCTTGTTTTTCTACAATAAGTAGAACAAGTTTAACCGTCGGTGGAGCATACGAGTAGATGTTTTCCAGTCCAACATCACTAGAATAAAAAACAAAATAATTCGCAAATCGATCACTGTACGACACTTTACGCAATGGGTGCAAAATTTGGCCAATTTCGATCTGTGCGTTGTAGTGCATCTAGTTCTTTGATTAATTCTCTTTCTACTCCTTTGGCATCAGTAGCAGTTAGATGTATAAGTTTAGATCCATTGATAAATGAATTCGGTCCGATTAACTAAAATGAGTAGGTTCTTCATAAAGTTTAACATTCTTATTCGTTTACTCGAAGTGTTGGGTAAGCCGCAACATTGTGTTGATCGCAAATAGGACCATTTTCATCCGCATAGCAGTTTATTGCTCCAACACGCACAACTGTTCTCCATCCTAATGTGAGAAAAGCAGTGAAAATCTATTGATAAGGAATAGAATATTTCCTTACCCCATGTATCAATAGCGACTTCTCGATATGTCTAAACAAGTTCAAAAGAAGAATAATAGTAATAAAAATGGCGATAAAGCATTATCTTACGTTTGCATATGACTGACAATGTCCACACCAGCTTGCGTAGAATTCGACAAGCCATGCTGTTTTCGATTGATAAACTATTGAGGAAAAGTTTTGACCTGTTAAGATGACGACTTTATCGTTGGCGGTATACAGTGAAATTGAATCTTGCGATGGTACAACTGCTGATGAAGTTAGCCGGATGAGAAAACATATTAATAAATACCGATGAGTAAATACGAGTGTCATCAACGAAGTAAGGTCAATCACATTTAATTCTAATCTAAAACATTCACAATGTTATGTTTTGACTCATGTACATATGCAGCTTCTCTTTTACGTACGCCACGTCTTACGTAAATGAATACGAAAGAGAAAATTTGTCGCTCCGATCCCTTATAAACAAAGAACAAGAAAAATAACGAGAATCTTTACGTGGGCTCGTGATGAATAAATTATTGAAGTGATAGATGAGGGGTTCGACATTAATATAACATGATGACAGAGCGCAAGAAAAAAAGCAGACGATTCAACAACTTTTCTAATCCTCTGAACAAAGTCTGTATTGTTCGCCCCCGTCTAACGTATTCCCTGTCACTTGATTATAGGTGGATGAAGAAATTGCATTGCCTAGACATATCTATTCTGAAGAAAATCCAACTTAATTATTAATTAGTCGTTTCGATATAATGTTCAACTTACAATTTTCTTTCGAATCACATCAAACAGATGTTACACACAAAGCAAACTTATTTTTCTGAATGATACTTGACAATCAATACATTCTATCCATCGTACAATTTGACATTTCGAAACAATGTAATCCTTTTATCCCAAAAGCACGTATTCGGCTAATCAATCCGTACATTGATCATAACGCACATACACGACTGATGAGATTACATTCAAGTTAACTGAAAACGAGTATCTAAAACGAAGGAAGTTAAACAATCACGTACAACTGCTGGTATATTCACAGTAATGAAAGTAATTTCTTTTGAATCAAAGATATAACAGCGCTAATTTTTATTGGTCGGTAAAATTAGGTTGGCGTTTTTCAATGAACGCCTTCATGCCTTCTTTTCGATCAGCCTAAATCAAATTTGATGAGCGATATTCATTTCGAACGAAAATCGAACGTACTAAACCAAATGTTGTGAGAGAAAGGTTCTTCTCGTATTGAATACCTTCTGCTAATGTAGTTTCAAAGGCTGTAGAATAAAATAAGAAGATAGAAATGATACAAGACCAATTATGAATTTATTTTACCGGTATTTACTGCTTCTTTTGCTAATTGTACTACCAGTTTTGAATGATTTCCGATCTTTTCAGCTATTTTAATGGCTTCTTCAACAAGTTTCTCCGCAGGAAAAACATCACTAACTAATCCAATTTGTTTTGCTTCATGAGCATTGATTCGATTGCCTGTTAAAACCATTTCCATAGCTTTCGACTTTCCAACAAAACGAGCTAAACGCTGCGTACCACCAGCACCTTAGATAATTCAACAAAGAAATTAATTATATGAATCGCTTGTTTTCATAATACCAGGAATGGTGCCGATAGTGATTTCCGGCTGACTAAATTCTGCTTTGTGACCTGCATAGATAATATCACACATCATCGATAATTCACATCCGCCACCTAACTAATAAAGAGAATTATATAAGCATTGCAAATATGATCATACTGCAAAGCCGTTGACAGCAGCGATAATCGGTTTTGTTAATCTTGAGACTACTGATAATTCTTCAGGAAAATCAGACTTAATTACGTGTGCCATTTTCTCCATATGCATTTCTTTGATATCAGCACCAACTGGTGTAGAGGACATTATTATAAAATTTTTTATAGAACAATCCAAGACAGACTTACTGGAAAATGCTCGTGTACTACCGGTAAGAACTATACAAGCAATTCGACAATCTTTATCAAGTGAGGTTAACGTTGTAGCTAACTAAAACGGAAAGAAGAAGATAATGTCTTCTCTGACAAATATATGTCATTCTACTTCAGTTATTAGTTTGTTGCACAGTGAGTTGAATACTTTAGGGCGATTAAGTTGTACAAGTGCAATATTTGATTTTTGTCCTTTGATATCCACTAGTACATACTCATTATCTTTATATGAAAAAATGAGTAACATGTAGTCCAAATAATTGTTTTCTAATACTTTGTCGCTCAAAACCAGATGAAACGGATCGTAAAATCATTGATGTACTCAGGAACCGTTTGGTTAAATGCATAACTGTTGATTTTGAATGTAGGATGATCATCTATAATGCACAATTAACATATCCTGAAAAGTTTTCATATTTATATATTCATCGTTTTCTTTAGCAAAATACGACACATTTACTTTTCAATCTAACTAATCATTATCAAATGTGTATAGAAGAAAAAAAGTCAACCATCACGTAAGAGAACTTTATTGGACGAAAAGTATACCAATGAAGATGTCAGTGTGTTGAAAAGTAAAAATGAAACTAACGGCAATTTTACTGCTCCATACCAGACGATTACTGAATTTCAACATATATCGTAAACAATTTATTTTAAAGACACAATGGATGCCTACAAATTAGTAACAGGAAAAAAGAAAATAGAGTTTGAGGGATTTATTTGTATTGTTTATGTTGGAATGTGGAGAAAGAGGATTTGTTCGAGAAGAACAATACAAAAAAAGTAGGATATAAATTACTAGGTTTTACCTTCAATCGAGAGAAAGCTATTATAGTCAGTAGCCAGATAGGTGAAATAGTTTGAAAGTGGAACAACTGAATAAACCGCAGAGCCGTAACCAAATTAGATTGTCGAGTGGATTTGATATACTTAGAGATCTGACCAAGATTAGACCAGGATAGAACTCGATGGGTATTTTCCCATTAGGTATCATTTCAATTTGATTTGCACATCGGCGCGGCCAGCCATAGATTTCTTCGTTGGGGAAAATTAAAAATCAGTACGCAAAAAAAAAGTTTTTGTTACAGAGAGTATGATCTTGTAATAATAACAAGTAGCGCTCATCCTTTGGATTCGCTGACCCTTTTCTGAAAGAATTGTCCCAGTGCTGACCACATTCAAACACTTTGAAAGACAACTAAGGCACTGCGATTGCTACTAGTCCTCAACTGAACCATGGCATTATGTCATACACTAGAGTGAATAGAAGACAGAGATTGTTCATTTCAGAAACCGANCTCATAACTGATCGGTTTCTCATCCGAGATATTGAAACTTTACATAATAGTGTGATTTTTGTCACAGATTCTACTCTTCTTTCCACTTGCGGAACTCGATAATTGAGTGGTCTCGTTCTCAAAAAGAGTATTAGTTAAATTTTTTTAAAGATCAATTAGACTATCTGCGTCTTTCAACTCTCATTTACGCCGAGTCGGTCTGCAACCGAAGCTGTCAAAGTTCGACATAACTGTGCGGTTTACAGGACATTTTCTATTACTCTTTTCAATTTAAAGAGCTGATAATCTGCAGGACTTATTCTCGAAGCTCGAAAGACATCAGTAATATTCGTTAAAAAATCATTGACATAAACTGAGACCCTTACAAATCTCATCTCTCGAGTAGTTTTTGAAACAAACGTCTAGTCGTTCGTCGGCCTCTCTCCTGTCGGTCACTCACGACTAGTCCTTGTTACCCAACCTCTGTTATGCCTTTCACATTTGACTAACTCTTAAACTGAATAGCTGTGCTTCATTTCATTGTCGCTTCGAAAGTGCTGATCTTCCATCTATTTGATCCTGAAAAGAAAATAGATAAAAGTTTTATTTTATTTTATTATTTGCTGTGAAAAGAACACGCATCATAATGCACCCTATGTTTAGAATACTATTTGTATAGGCCCTGTCTTTGTAGTTAATAGGATGGAATTGCACTTACGGGTATATCACTCTGGCTCATATTTCCACTAAATTCCTATTGGAAGACTAGACGTATCGCAGCCTAGAAGACACAAATGGTATTAAGCTTATACCACTTTTTATGATTTCTTGGACTAGAAATATCATGATGTATGGTATATTAAATCTTCTTCTGTAAACTTCTAAACTACTCTATTGGTCCACATCACATCCAGCAGTAGCGTTGAAGCCACTACCTTCTACAAAAGATTTTAGGACGATAGAGAAAAATATCTCTTCTGAAAAGGAGAATGAAGCCGAAGGTTTGTGACTAAGAAAAATTTAAGGTCATTTTGGAGATCCTCGACTCCAATTACCTACCACCAATCGTTTTCTAATAAGTATGGTTAGGTTTTCATTGATTTATAAAATGCTGCAATCTGATTGGATTATGCAAACAAACTTTTAGCATTTTAACGACCGTATTTTATACGCTATTACTCGTTCTTTCAGAAAAGAGAATTAGAAACGAATTAAAAACAAACAGCAAGTAATCGAGCTATCAGAATCTGCAGAAATCCGCTAGGAAAAGATCGGATTTTGTCGGATGCCAGAAATGCTAAGAATCCTGGACTTTCGGCGTATTCCCATCGCATCCGCTGGAGTTTACTCGCTCTGAGCAACCATCCATTAAACCGTAATTAAGACTGGGAACTTCAAACTTTACATTAGCTTCTTCTTGTGCACCCTGTTTTTCGAATCTTATTCGATATATGGTCTATTTGAAATGAGATCTTTCCCATCTATTATAAGCATGCGTGAACCTGTTGCTTTTCTGCGCTGCAAAACAGAACATCATGTGACGTATAGTAGGATGTCATTGGTTTTAAACATGGTATAAAGTTAAACATGTTCATTGAAGTGGAATAGAAATAGAAAAACATAGGATATTATGAATAGGTCATGATAATCGACCAGGCAAAAACGACTTTTTTCTTACAAAGAGACAACTCTCTGTGGTGGTTCAAGTATGCTGAACGATATATTTCTAACACTTTAGTATCATACCAGCAAGTTCAATGGGCGGGCATTACTTATAAATTACATCTGTATACTGAAATAAGTCTCATTGTGCACGCATTTGTTATCTTGAACTTGGCCATGGCTATTGTTGGAAATATTAGATCTAAACTGAAAACTCAACAACATTTACC